ACAATGGGGAAGCAAACTGTCAATTTGTTGTACATAGAGGGCGCTAAGTGTTTGTCATCAAAAGATACATTGGTTATATGGGAACATTTGTGATTTTTCGCTTTCATTCAGAGAAATGGGTCGTTGTGCTTCTTTCGGGTGCAAAGAAATGGGAGTTTATAAGTTTCCTGAAGGTACTATTATGAGAAGAAAATGGGAAAAAGTTATCAACCAATATTTGTTAAACCAATTTATTGTTAAATTTGAATCTGTAAATGAATTAAGTTGTCATAACCTCAATATTAATAATTGAGTAGTAGGCACTGATATTATTCCGTGCTCAATTCATTATTGCTGTCAAGTAAGCTTGGATTCAGTTTCATTCACACTGATCTACGAGCTAAAACAATACAGATTTCGAAAATATCAAAAATGCATATCCGGAACGAATTACCTAACCATAACGGTCTGTGGATTCACCTGAGACAGCCATAATTCACTGGTCTGTAAACCGTTCGTTGGTTTGCTCATTATTTCCAATGCCACAGCGATCTGTTCATCGTTTATTTTATAGTTGTGTAATTGTTGTGCGGCAGACACAGTAATACGTAATAAAGCATCTGCTGATTTAGAAAATGAATTTTAATCTTATTCAAGTCATGCTGTCGGTCTCATTTAATTAAATTTGAAAAGAAGGTCGAAATAAAAACATTGATTTTTGCGTCCAGGATCAGTNATTAAATTTAATTAACTACTCATGCGCTCATTTCAAGAAAAGGATTTTAAAAACAGTTGGGTGAAATCAACACACATATGTGAAACATTGGAGACTAACACACAATAAAAATAAAAATGTATTTTAATTTTGAATGTCATCCATGAAGGGCATGTTTCACCCCCCAATTCATAGTTGAGGGTGACCGTTGTTGTGTTATTACTAAAACCTGACCGTGTTTTCTCATTTCTCACAAAACAGTATCGAGACTGTGATGTATTTATCTTCAGCGTTATACAGGATTACAAATACCTGAAAGTTCAACGAGCTAATTTTGCTGATAACATAATTAATAACAAATAATATATTAATATCGTGCAGTACGCCAACACTTTAACTAAATTCCAACATTCCGTTTACATCCGAATCGGTTCCGCACGGGTGCAATGCTGATACTTAATATAAATTCACCCACCGGAAATTTAAGGGCACGGAGGAACTGTGATGAAAAGATAACTATATTCTAAGAACGCGCCTTTTTTACCCGTGTCTGGCGCCTCAGTTGGAATATTTAATAACTCCTTTCTTATTGCATATCTATAATATAAAACGAACCTAAATACATAATTTCAGCTTCCGAAAATATTGTGGATCGGAGAAACAATGATGAAAAGGTAATTATTATATGTAAACGCGCCCCTTTTCCTTCTACGGGGGGCGCCCCAGTTGGAATATTTAAAAATCCTATCTTATTGCATATTTATAATATAAAATGAACCTAAATACATAATTTCAGCCTCCGAAAATATTGTGGATCGGAGAAACAGTGATGAAGATAATTTTCATTTGTAAACGCTCCCCTTTTATCCATAGTGGGGGTGTCCCAGTTGGAATATTTGAAAATCCTCCCTTATTGCACATCTACAGTATAAAACGAACCTACATACAAAATTTCAGCCTCCGAAAATAGAGTGATACGAGAAACACTGATGAAAAGGTAATTTTCATATGTAAACGCCCTCTTTTATCCCCAGGGGGGCAGTTGGGATATTCAAGAATCCTTTCTTATAGCACATCTAAAACATAAAAAGACCCAACATACAAAATTTTAGCATCTACAACATAAAACGAACCTACATGCAAAATTTCAGCCTCCGAAAATATACGGAGAAAAACTGATGAAAAGGTAATTTTCATATGTAAACGCTCCCCTTTTATTCTCAGTGGGGGGTGCCCCAGTTGGAATATTTAAAAATCCTTTTTTGTTGCACATCTTCAACATATAATTAATCTACATTGTGATAGGCATTGTTTTTTTTCTTTATTCGATAAAATATACATTTATCGTCTGTTGTATTACTTAACATAGCCGTTTTCTAAGGACACTGGATTAGAGTAAGCTGTTCGAGGATTTTGTGAGGATTTTCATTAATTTGCGAATAAAATATGCATTCGCCTCAATTTCCGGAGACGGAGTATTTTGTGGAATCGGAAATTTCGAGAAACGACCGATCGGCCGCGAATAGGCCGAAAATGACGTCGTCGTCACGCATAAATCTAGCGGCCCGGTGATTCCTTTCCGGGCCATGGCATCACTTGATTTCTCGATTGCTCGCTCGTAGGATCGATCGAATCTAGTAGGCGTCCTTTGCATAACATCCAGTTGGCGTAGACCGGAGGTCACTCGGTATCGTCTAGAAGTTCACGGGGCTTCGATTCTTGCTTCAGAACAAACGAATGTACGGAGACGTAGGTCTGAGGAAGGTCGAAATTGGGTTTGAAATGTCACGTGCCCACCAATTTTGTGTATTTATCTACTTGCAACGAAGGTCTGGCGGATAATATTGGCAGTGCATTTAATATTTTGAAAAGTTTGTTGCAGTTCTCAAATAACACTTAGTTGGTGTGAAATTGATTTTAAATAAATCTAAGTCAGCATTGATGAAATCATTTGTCAGGAGCAACTTCTCGAATAGCGACTCGACGATTCTCCATAACAATTGTCTCCACTTTCTCAACATTTTCATCGATTGTTATTGTGCTGGGACGTCCAGTTCATATTAGAAATACGCGACGGACTGTGGCTGCTCATCGTTTTGTGATACACTTCGAGCTCCACTGTCTTAAAAATATTTCATTTTTAGGACTGCGTTTATGTGGAATCAACTTTATTCCGTTCTTTTGAATGTATTTCCCTTCACAATTCAGAAGAAATTCAAAGATTAAATCAATTGAAAGAATTTCTGAAATCATTATATTTCACTTTTGGAAAAAGTTTCACTGAAGATCATTAGAGAAGTGTTTAGTACTCGTTTGGCGTATCGGCAGTTTTTTAACCTGTCAATTTACAGCTACAACTCCTCATTTGGTATATCCACAACAAACCGATTCGTTCTTTGTGGTCGCAGCTTTCTACTAATCAACTCACCTGCAAGCGTCAAAAATAAACGACTGACTAATTCGAAATCTGAATGAAATGTCTATATACGTTCGAATGTCAGCGATTCGGAATTTGCATAATGGAATTTTCATTCAGTTCGGCCAGTCGATAATTGGTTTATCAATATTCGCAGCATAGGTATGTGTTTATTGACTGTAATTACGTTTGGTTCACAGACCGTATTCAGTAGGTTAATGAGGACCGATTGTGTGTCAAAAGAAATGCCATTCTGTGGTCGGTTGTGACGGGAAATAAGTTCGAGTTCATTATCAGGTTGATAGTTGAAGTATACGTGATTATCTTCTCTTGCCAATGCCAAATTTATGATAAGTATTTTTCTTTGAAAGTTTAGAAATAAAGCATAATTTTTGTGTCAGTACAGTAAGTATGGTTGATCTGAAATTGAGTACCTAATTGAATTGAATATGGAGTTTTAATACTCAAATGGCAGATGTCTCTTTTAACACTTGCACCAGAACTGTTCCATGTTTTGATCACGGACATACAAAACTTGAACTGAAGTCTTTGACAGATGTCAGTGTCATATTTTTTTTCTCCCTCTCTTCATTCGAACGCACATGGTTTCACACCATTATAACTTTCAACAAGTTCAAATGTTTTAATGAATAATTGTCAATCAAATAATCATTATGCTTTAGTGATAAAATAAGTTATTCTATCTTGATGACTTGTCCAACTTTACTGACATGTTTCAATTTCATAAAGTTTACACCATTTTTTATAGGGCCAACCTCAACAACATAAGTTTCAACTTTGTTCTATAAATTTCAAATATAATGCCATTACAGCCTTTACACCTTGCCCCTGATAATGGTAATGAAGATTATCGAAATATTGGAATAACTTATGTAATAAGAGTACACAGTACACAGAAATTTCATTGCTATTTCACCATGACGTTCCCTGTCTTTTTTCAGATGTAACACATTACTTACCAAATAACAGTCGATGGGCTTCTCTCTGGAGACTTTGTAGGACTTTTGGAGCTCAGTCTGCTTGAGAGCATGCGCAATGTGAAGCGCACTCGCGTCGAATCTTCCGTACTGGTACGAGGGCGAGTTTTCATGGTGGTTGTTTTGGTACGAGTTAGGACTATAATGCGGGCTGGAATGCCGCTCCCTCTCACCGCCGTACGGGGGAGAATGAGGTTGCTGGGCGGTGCCGTTCATGTGGGTACGGATGTTGAGAACTGAAAAAAAAATGTGTGGCTGTAATCCAAGGCTTGGGTTTTTTTATACACGGCGTTCCAACGAAAACAATGACATACAGTCATACATCATTTGGAAGATCTCTTGTCTCTCTATTACCTCTGTATTTTTTTTTTTAAAAAAATTGCTTTCGTTACTCTTATTGAGGAACATTGACAAAAAACAACAATAGGAGCAATATAATAACACTTTTTATACACCAAAACAAAACATCGACTACCACTACCACTTCCACATTGTTTTTACTGAAGAAACCCGCAATTCTATCTTCTTTTTCCTTAAACACCTCGACGACCTCCACCCAAATTCAAATTCACAATGGAAATTGAAACTAATAACTCCTTTACATTCCTAGATGTCCTCATCACAATACCCAATAACTCCTTCACCCACACGGTCTACAGGAAACCAACACATACAAACAGATACTTCAACCATCATCCAGCACGAATCGACTCCGTTTTGAATTCTCTCATCCACAGATATATCAACCTCACAGACCACCGCAACAAACCACAAGAGTTAGCCCAACTCAAATCAGCTCTCCTTCAAAATGGATTCACAGACCATCAAATTGACAGATCCATCCGTCATGAATCGCAGGGTATATACGAAATTCCATGCTCCGATTGCGATAGAACATATGTTCTAAGAGAGTCATAGTTACGACCGCACCGGGGGGCCTGGGGGGCCGGTTAGGCCCCCCAGACGTACCCTGGCGTTGGATGCGATCGGGCGTGGAGGGGTGGATTTTCGGGAAATCCTTGCGGGTACCGCCCCTCACCCCACACCAACAGGATTTCGCAGGGCTTCCTCCCGCTCACCAGTTGGCGTAGACCGGAGGTCACTCGGTATCGTCTAGAAGTTCACGGGGCTTCGATTCTTGCTTCAGAACAAACGAATGTACGGAGACGTAGGTCTGAGGAAGGTCGAAATTGGGTTTGAAATGTTACGTGCCCACCAATTTTGTGTATTTATCTACTTGCAACGAAGGTCTGGCGGATAATATTGGCAGTGCATTTAATATTTTGAAAAGTTTGTTGCAGTTCTCAAATAACACTTAGTTGGTGTGAAATTGATTTTAAATAAATCTAAGTCAGCATTGATGAAATCATTTGTCAGGAGCAACTTCTCGAATAGCGACTCGACGATTCTCCATAACAATTGTCTCCACTTTCTCAACATTTTCATCGATTGTTATTGTGCTGGGACGTCCAGTTCATATTAGAAATACGCGACGGACTGTGGCTGCTCATCGTTTTGTGATACACTTCGAGCTCCACTGTCTTAAAAATATTTCATTTTTAGGACTGCGTTTATGTGGAATCAACTTTATTCCGTTCTTTTGAATGTATTTCCCTTCACAATTCAGNGATCAAAAAAACTGTCTTTATAATGAGAGAGTTGTTCAAATATGCAAAATTATGAACCTTTCCACTAGATCAGCTTTCTTCCCTTCTAGTGTTGCACCTCTCCTCTACAACTCCTCCTTCAACTGAGCGATACGCCATGTAGAATACATCTTGAATTGCAAGCAATTTAAATAAGAAACTTTCAAGTAAATCAATAAATAACGGTGGAAACTTTGACAGCTAATGACCAATGTGACAGACATTCAGCGCACTCTGCCGGATGAGTTTCCCGTAATCATCCCCATTGTGTGGTCGATCCGACCGCAAAATTTGGATCGTGTACGGGCGCTCTAAGACCATCGCCACAGCGAAAAACTACAAGCTCGGATAATTGGCGAAGCCATCGAAAACGAAATTCATTTTTTAAAAACGGTAACAGACAGGTAATAGGAAATATGAAGAAAATTTGTCGGGTAATTGTTGTAGATTCCAAAAATAATATTATATACAAGTTGTTCTATTTCTCAAGGTTGCGGACGAACAACACTGTACAACTAAAAAAGGGGAGTGAGAGGTTATCAGAGCAAAAATAAAAATCGATCCAGCTTCAAAGGCTGAGTTTTGAGGCCTTGCGGAACTTTGCAAACCTTACCATCAACTTGCCTCATACCTTAGAATGTTCGTAACGTAGCTGATACCCGCATATCTAAATTACTCACCCTCTCCTTCGAGGCCTCCTCTGCTGGGCCCCCTGATTTGCTCGTTGACGATATTGGAGGTCTTGGGCACGTTCAGGGCTGACCTGATGCCGAAAGAGGACCCATCCAGATGTCCTGGACCAATTTTGGGTACGTGGCTGTTGCAGTAAACCTCCTTATCTTCCTGCCTGTGTTGGTTATTGTAGTACGTTTTCAAAGTCAACTTAGTCCCGCACACCGCGCACTTGAAGCACCCGCTGTGGAAGAACGTGAAGTCTTTGAGTGGGCCCACTCTGTCTACTTGGTAGACGGTTTCGTTGCACCGGAGACACGTGCTCTCGTAGAAGTTCGGTCGGTACATCGCTTTGTACGAATTTTGGAGCATTTTCGTTCGGGGTTGTTCAAGAGTCTTTCTAAAAATCGTATGTAAGCTGCCGAATAGCTGTGTATTAGACCTAGGGCATAAAATAATTCATAATGAGATTGGATATCCTAACCTCAAACTCTAGCATATGTGATTCAACACCAGTCAGAGCTGTGGTCTGATCACTAGTGGCGGGCCGAATTACGCTACGGGTGCATTGCTAGAATCAAGTCAGTCTCAGTAGAAAAAGGCCAGCATTCCACCTCATGAGTACCATCGCATTGCTGACTCTTTAGCCAAGGAAGCGGCTGGACTAAGAATTTTAGGACCCAGTGGCACCTACGGCCTGATGACTTCGACAATTGCGGAACTAGTCAAACGTCACACCCATGCTCAATCCTTAAAGAGATGGGATGGAATCAAAGTATGCAATCTTGACAGGATCACCTGGGGTGACCCTGGGAAGCTGGCGCCGAAGAAATATCTAGCAATGACCGGAACAGTAGGATTTCTGACTAGCCACTGTCAACTAAGAAAACACCTCCATAATATGGGGCTGATGGACATACCTCTCTGCAGGATGTGTGAACAGGAAGATGAGACTGTCAGGCACGTCCTATGCGAGTGCCTGGAGTTATCGTCAATAAGAGAGTGTGTGTTCGGCGAGTCTTGGCCTACACCTGCCGATATAATGAAGATGTTTCCCAGTGACCTGTCCACCTTCCTGGAAAGGACAGGATGGACGATGACCTAGGAGGACAACTCTTCGGGAGGATGTATAATGGGTCACATGTGGCCTAAGTGCTGTGGACTTACACTCATCCTCCCTACTCTACAGATACAGATACCATCTAAGGGATCGATAGAAGAATCATTGATATCTCAATTATAAACGATTCTCCTAAAAACGATCCGTTTCAGAGCCAAGCTTCAATGTCGACCATCGAAACGAAATTCGTCCTCTGCATTTATCTATCACTATAAGCTTCCTAGGCAGAAATGAATTGCACCGGAGACACGTGCTCTCGTAGAAGTTCGGTCGGTACATCGCTTTGTACGAATTTTGGAGCATTTTCGTTCGGGGTTGTTCAAGAGTCTTTCGAAAAATCGTATAAAAGCTGCCGAATAGCTGTGTATTAGACCTAGGGCATAAAATAAGTCATAATGAGATTTGATATCCTAACCTCAAACTCTAGCATATGTGATTCAACACCAGTCAGAGCTGTGGTCTGATCAATAGTGGCGGGCCGAACTACGCTACGGGTGCATTGCTAGAATCAAGTCAGTTTCAGTAAGAAAAGGCTAGCATTTCACCTCATGAGTACCATCGCATTGCTGACTCTTTAGCCAAGGAAGCGGCTGTCCACCTTTCTGGAAAAGACAGGATGGACGATGACTTAGGAGGACAACTCCTCGGGAGGATGTATAATGGGTCACATGTGGCCTATGTGCTATGGGCCTACACTCACCCTCCCTACTCTACAGATACAGATACCATCTAAGAGATCGATAGAAAAATCATTGATATCTCAATTATAAACGATTCTCCTAAAAATATCCGTTTCAGAGCCAAGCTTCAATGTCGACCATCGAAACGAAATTCGTCCTCTGCATTTATCTATCACTATAAGCTTCCTAGGCAGAAATGAATATTACACACTGGGCTGGAATTCTTTTATACAACAATAGTAAGTACCTAACTTTGTTGGATAATTGTGAATGCGATACTAGGTAGAATTTGTACACCAAATACCATATGAGTTCTTGGACAGCAAGTACATTTTTGAATATGAATAAAATTATTGGTACAACGAAAAAAGGTTTATGCCAGATTTTCGAACAAAAACCACTTGCTCGCCACCCACTTCATAGGCGAATTTCGTCGAATAGAAAAGCCACCAGGGACCAGTTCGTTGCCCTGCCAGTCTCCGGAAGTCACTTCCATGGCTTCTTGCGATTTTTGTGGAACAAGGTGTATGGAAATCGCTACTATAGTATCATTGATCTCCAGATAGCGATAACAAATACCGTACGTAGCATCGATGGTCGTACCGTTTCAAGGCTACAAAAAAGGTTTTTGAGTGTACCTAAAAATGTATCGAGCACGAATCAGATGTATTCAAACATTTAATTTAATTTTTATTATGGAAAAATTGACGAAAAGTGAAGAAAACGCACAACTCTTCCATTTTTGATTTCATGATAAAATTCATAATAACTTTTGAAACTCTGAAAAGAGTTAGCAATCGATACAAGTTATCTTTAATGAATTATTGAATGAGCGTACAATCAGAATAAGCAGAAAGATTTTTCAATGTGGTTGTTATGTCTGGTTTTCGAACAACAGCCACTTGCTCGCCACCCTTTTAATAGCGATCGTATAGAAGGGCTATCAGAAGACCAGTTTTTTGACTTCCTCATTCTCCGGATCATTTTAATGAATTTTTATTTACGTAAATTCTTGAAAAAATCTACAAAAAATCTACAAATTCTACAAAAATCGATACGATAGTATCGACGAATACGATAACGATAACGATAGCGATAACAAATACAATACGTAGCATCTGTGGTCGTATCATTTTAAAGGCTACAAGAAAGCTTTATAAGTGTGCTCAAAAATGCATTGAGCAAGGAGGATGTATTCGAACATTTAATTTAATTTTTTACGATAATTTGATCAATAAATTTCACAACCAATGTGTATTTTTCAACACGCTTTTATTTGCTTCACCTGTATGTATGAATGTTTGTTTGTAACTCTCCTTGCACTTTACATGTATTTCTTCATTTGAAAAAAGTATTTGAGAAAGATCGATTTAATACTCTGACAAGGAATATTTCCATTTGTCGGTAAAGAAATGCTACGTCATGTGTGACGTACCGGTTAAATTTTTTATTTCATTACTTTGGTTACGAGTTTTCTATATAAGCGTGTTAATAAAGATTATATCATAATGAGGGATTAGTCTTTAAAAAAATTATACAACTAGCAAATATAACAAAAACCTTGAGAACTACCTCTCAGCCGGAGTTTTTATAACTGAATTAATTGAATGGAAGATACACTCTGATTATTCAATGTTCGTTCCGTATACAATAATGGCTGGAGTTTGGATGCATCAATGCTTTAATTGTTTTTCATTAACACACTTTCCATACCGGCACATTCAACGGCTCTGGGAAAATGAACGTGATACAAAAAAATTAAAATTATCATCAATATGGATCGCAACGCGCTTCCTCCAACGCAAAACCTCAAGGTGCATGGCATACAGGGTCTTCCAACGGGAATTTCCGAACAATTGATCACGGCCATCTTGTTAACGCTGCATCTGTCAAACTACTTGTCATTTCATCACGCTTTTATTAGCTTCACCTGTAATGTATGTTTGTTTGTAACTTAGTAGCTGATTTTCAGGCCCCCTATCCGGAATCGGAAAATATCAATGGTCATTTTTCTAAACAATATTCGGCTGATTGATCCCAAAGTTTAGATGAAATAAATATAGTTTATAAATAGTAAAAAACGCGCTTTTATAGCATACGAAACTGAAAAATGGAAAATAAATATAGTTTAAAAAACTAAAAAACACGCGTTTGAAGAACAACGAACTAAAAAGTTAAAAATATGTTTTTTAAAATAAGCTCAAAACAATAACGAACTAAAAATACTAATATTATAGTGAAAAAAGCGTGGGCGCGTTGCCACTTTTTTCACAATAATAATAATATTTTTCGTTTGTAATTGTTTTGAGCTTATTTAATTTTTTTTTTTTACTTTTTAGTTCGATGTTCTTTAAAAGCGTGTTTTTTAGTTCTTTAGTCTATATTTATTTCTGGTAACAGGCCAATGTGGGTATTTTCTGTGCAAGATATGACATTGAAATCTCGTATTCATCAAAATGATGAAATTTGAATCATGTTTCGTTCGAATCGATAAAGCGAAAGATTCGAAAAATTCAAAAAATTGGGAAAAAGTCGCAGTGACAGTAAAGAGTCCAAATATAGAGCAAAGTTATAAAATTGGGAACTGGACAACTTTTTTCTTTGACATTTTTCGACCTTTACCAAACAAAAAACTGATTTTTTGAGGATTCTCGAAAAAAATGTCGAATTTGACAGGTTTAGCGTAGTACATGACAAAAGAAAAGAGGGTGTTTTTTACTCAGTATGAAAGTTGACTAACTTTTTTCGAGATCAATTGCCCTAACACCAAACTGATATTTTTGCACTCGACGCGCGTTTCGCCAACAAAGTTAGCATCCTCAGGAGAAGAAAATTAATACCTAGTCGAGTCTGGTTAGTCCTTATATACTAAAATTCGTTACCTGAGGTTATATACCTGAAGTCCAAACTTCAACTTTCACACCAAAGGTTCCAATCTCATCGTTATTCATTATGAAAGCACAAACTAACTGCGAAGTCAAATTTTCATTATACAGTGTTATCCCCAGAGTATGCACCATATAGGAAACTATTTTATTAAGGGTTTTTCGACAAAAAGTTATGATTGATGAAAGTTTGTGCATCTCCTAAAACTAAACATGCACCAACGGAAAATTTTGGGAAATGTTATTTAAAAAAGTTGTTAACCATTGAAAAACACATCTAGATTTGAAGTCATGGCCATTTAAGAGAAGTTTCATTTTTTAACCCGTTTTTTTAATGGGGACTACGAAAAATACATTTTTGCTAAAACGATAAACAGACAGCATCCTGCATAAATGAACCGTCGTGTTCATTTTAAAAGCCTGTGATATTACAAATTGCACAACTGTTGTGTTAACCACGGTCGATTTTTTTGAAAAATAAATAAATTTTCAAAGTTTTTGGCGCAAAGTTATTTTTATTGTTTTGTTATCAACGAAAATTACTCAAAATTATATAGTAATTGTAATAAAAACTTAATATTCAATGATATCAAATCACAAAACATCACAATAAAATAGGTATTTCTGAACAATTCATTGATTTCCTGGAGATTTTCTTGTCCAAAATAAGTGTTTCAAGATGAATTTCCAGAAAATCAATAAGTTTGTTCCGAAATGCCTATTTTATTTTGATGTTTTGTGATTTTATATTATTGAATATTGAGTTTTTGTGCCACTGTCAACATATTAAAGGTTTTTGAGCACCTAATTCCATTTTTTCCTCTCACCAACAAACTAAACATGCTAAACAGCTGTGAACATACGATCGAGACGGGTGTACCAACAAAAAAAATCGTTTATCGAATGTATGCAGCCTGCGAAATTTGAACATTCACCAACAGTCCACGTATACACCTGAACCAATCTCGCATTGGCTTACATAACAAGATGATTTGCCCTCGTTTTTACTGTTCCGTAGCAAAATTGAAATACGACATTCCCCCAGATAGAACCGGAAGAAATAAAATATGAAATACCGACGCGTCCGAGCAATCCAACTGTGTAAAATGTCGTAATGAGATTAGAATCTTCGATGAATTGCGAAACCGCTGTGAGAAATATTCTCTGTATCTATATACCTGCTCGATGAAATGTACAGGATGTCACAGTTCAGTAGAATGTCGAAGAAGTGCCTGTTTTTTTTCTGATAGCAGTAGAGAGTCATTTGGTTCAGAATCAAAGCTGAAATCATACAGACTGGGCTATTTGAAACGTACCTACGGCCAGAGAAGAAAACGTTTCGTAACTATCCAAAAAAACGTCGAATTAATTTGTGAGAAAGACAACTTTTGACCTAAAATCAATTGCAAAACCTTCTTCAACCCCCCTATCAGAGGATTTCATCCTACATTTTTTTAAAAATGGTATGGGGGTTGAGTGATAAGTTATTGGCAACTATACGATTCTCCATCTATATACCGTAAAAATGGGGTGTTCCATTGCGAGTGGCGGGCAGTGTATGTCATTTTGGCCAACCCCATTCAGATGGTAGGTGCATTTTGAGCATTTTCATCAGTCCTGAGAGTTTCATCGTTCTACCTCGAATATTAGGGAAGATACGGGGGTGTTTCCTTGAGAAGTGAGACACACTGTATGTGTCGATAATTGAATAGAACTGACCGATACTTGATGAAAATCCATATTAAAAAAATAATCAATAGTTTATTGTATGATTTTCACTATTAGGCACATACAGATGTCAAAACTCCTTTGAGATCTGTCGAAGAAGTAAAGAAATGAACAATCAAAAAGGAATACCTAACTGCGAATATATAGAATTTTATTGTCCATTTCTGAAGACGGAGGCAGAAACGTGAAAGATAAGTATTGTATTATTTATTAACAATTTTTTTTAGGCAAAATTGTTAAATACGACAAGTTACTGATAAATAGAAGATTTTTCTTTGTGAAAAATACTTTGATTTTTACGCAGTAACTTATCGAGGTAAACTAAAAAGTTTGTCCTTCTACGCTTGCATAAAGTTCTCCATTATAATTTTTATATTCTTCAGATTGTGGAGGTTAACAAATACCCAAAAAAGGTCGAGAAATAAAAGTATAGCACAATATTTTTCCTTGAGTTTTTCAAAGTTCGATGAGGAAGTGCATGCATACAATAAATGAAAACAACCAAATTCTCTATTGAACGACGGACAAGAAGGTAATCACTCACTCTTATCAAACTTGTTTTTATAAAATTCCGAGAATTATTCATCATCTATCAATTAGTTGAATTCCGCAATGACTTTGTATAAAATGCATTGTAGAATAGTTTAAAGAAGCTATTGTGTATTAGCGAAACTTGTTTTGAATGAAGTTCGTAGTGAGAGAGGTATTAAAAAATCCTCATATAATAGATATATAATCGAAATCGTTGGTAACATTTCCAACAGCCCTCGTAAACCTCGTAAAAGAAAATGAAACGTCCCCCGAGGCTATAAAAGCTAGAGAGAGAAAGAGAGAGTCGACTGACTGATTTCATTTTTGCGTGATCTAAACTAGAAAACATCCCGACAGGTGTGTCCTGACGGTAAATAAAAAACACGAGAAAGAAACTCCTCGCAGTCATCGCCTTGGCCAGACCGAAAGTTTACCGTTCTCATTTACTATTGAAGTCTCCGAAGAAAGCCGAAAATAGGGCGAGCAATCGAGGTATCTGGCCCAAAGGGTCAGTGTCAATTGTTTCAGAAACAATAACGCCTCGTACGCGTACTTGAAAACGATGTCAACAATTTGTTTACAAAACGTAACCTTGCCCAGGGTCTAAAATCCGTCTGCGTCGTCCTTTGCTCCTTCACAAACCGATCCCAAAGTCACAAAGCCCTCACAGCACTTCGCGCAGAACTCACAAAACTTCGCGGAATTTCACTTGCACTGTTCGAAAGTAAGTCGGGCCGTGGCCATTTTGAATTTCGACGACCGAATCGTTCACAGTTGGCTATGGAATTACGAATGGCTCGTTCCCCTGCCCGCATTCACCTGTTTGGAACGGCAGAGACTTTGTCGGAGAAATCGAGGTACCTGTGAACGGGAGGTGCGATACGCGGTGGCCGTGCTGGACTCGCGCGCTAGTCGTTTGTTTCGCAACCGCGCGTCAGGCTTCTGAGATTTCAAATATTTAAAAAGGTATTCCATGTCAGGGAGCACCAAATTTGGATTGTTCCTAGTCGGATTTTAGGTTGATTCAAAAGTTTGGCCCGTTTTTATGAGAATACTTACTCAATTGAATCCAATCAAGCGCTATTTTACTCAGTGCACTTTTGTCAACGTAACACAAGTCAAATAAATCCGTCAGCATGAAATTCGGAATTCGATGAAGTCGACGAATGCCTCTTCTGCCTCATATCAGTGCAGGAAAGATCCGACTCACCCTTTCCAGGGTGGTGGACAGGTCACTAGGAGACATCTCCTGTATATCGGCAGGTGTAGGTCAAGACTCGCCGAATACACACTCTCTTTGGCAACCTTGAGGTGTCTCACGGTGGCCTCCGCGAAGATTTTGGAAGGTGCAGCGACATTACTGTCGTTGCGCGGCTTCTTCAACCTTATTGGGGTTTCCTCCGTGGAGGTGCATAAGTGAGGGAGCTTTCTTGCAGGGGCAGCCGGTTCCTGGTCTTTATTCAATGCGGAGCTCTTAGCGCCCGTTGCAGGAAGTGCTCTTGCTGTTGGAGGTGGAGTTGGGGAGGAGGAGGGTGTAGTACGCGGTCCGGCTCCACATGGAACCAGAGCTTTAGAGGTCGACGTCCGGAAGTGACAGAGAACAAAAGGTCTTGTCAGTCTGATCCTGGGGTTCTATGAGACACCTGTCTCGGGATGTCTGATTGAAAACGAAATAAAGAAACATAACAGAGGGTGCACTTATTGTTGCTGCCAATTTTGCCTCCTACGTTCCCTTTCTCCTTTTGGCCTCGGCGCCGTAAATGCGCTTACGCCTTGGCTTTACGCCTTGGCTTACAGTAGATTGGAGTGGACATTTCTGTTCATCCGCAGTCACCGCCATAAATTGAGGTGAGAACTTCTGTCCAGCCTCGGGACTAGTTTTTGTTATTTATGTTTTTGTGTTTGTTTCATTCATGTGTGGTCCCACGAGTAGCAAGGAAAGAGATTTCGTCACCTCTGGCAGAGCCCCGCATTACCAGAGGTAGGCCGATTACAATGAGGTTTCGCCCAAGGGGATCGTTTTGTAACCGCATATCACCCTACGGCCATTTTTAGTTGTCGGCACGATTCCTTACACCTTATCTATGGTAGGCTGGTCCACGGTGGCATGTTTCGCATAGGCTTTTGGGGAGTTTTAGTTCCCCTCACCCTACTTATATCTGCCACTGACCAGGAGTCCAGCGACCCCGTCCGTAAGGCCACATTGGCTTCCCAAACAAGGCGTCCAGTCCCCTGGCCGTGCTCTTATCCGCCACCTGGAGACGCGCCCGATAAGTAGCCCAACCCACGGGAACATTAGGTCTTATTGACAAAGCTGCAAATTTTCATATCTCATCATAAACATAAACACACACACACATATTTGTGTGAACGCAAATTCACACCACCACCCAAAACAAATTCACGCGGTGGCAAAAACACTTATTACACGTTCGAGAAGGCTGTCAGATAACGATCATAGACAACTTTACAAATGAATAACTACTCAGAAAAAAGTATAAAAGCGGCTTCCAAGACAACACGGAAACAACAGAAAACTCGAGATACACCGGTCATAACCACACTACCATATATTGCAGGAACAACAGACAAAATCAGCATAATTCTTCGCCGACACAACATATCAACTTCATTCGTACTAGAATGGACAATAAGGTCCATGCTCCGTAACCGCAAGGATCAGATACTACTGGAGTCACAAGGAGTGTATGAAGTACCATGCCACGATTGTGACAGGACTTACATCGACCAGACAAACAGACGAATCAACACACGCAAAGATGAACACAAACCAGCAGTGAAGGGAAAAGTCACCACGTCTTCTCTCTTTCAACACGTACTTCAAACAGGACAACATCAATTTCGATAACACAAAAATACTAGCAAGCAATGAAAACTTTTACTCGCGAACAATCAGTGAGGCTATCGAAATTGAAAAACGACCTAATAATATGCACAAGCAATCAGACCGCTCAACCCCAGAAGCAAAACTCGGTACTGCAGTTTGCAGCAGTTTGAGGAGTGCCTAGAAGATGACTGTACGACCAGCTGTCGAAAGCGATCGCAGATAATTAATAGAAGATATAAAGCTTCAAATCCTTTTTGTGAAATTTAATATTAAAATACTGAAAATAAAGGAAAATTAGTCATTCAAAAAAATATATATATAAAGATGTTATTGATTGTGTATGATATAAATCAAAAGGGAAAATTTGTGGACAGAACACTCAAAAAATGGAGACAAACCGCGGACACGTGTTTTTGGCTATTGGCCTCATCAGCGCGGTGCAGCCAATTGCAAAGATGGACAACAAATGGTTACCAAAAATGAAAAAATTTACATATGCACGGTGTCACAGCTAACAGCGCTGATGATGCCAATAGCCAGAAACACGTGTCCGCGGTTTGTCTCCTTTTTTTGAGTGTTCTGTCCACAAATTTTCCCTTTTGATTTATATCATACACACTCAATAACATCTTTATCTCTGTATTTATATCTTGGACCCGGAAGTCACGCAGGTAGCTATAGCTGCCTACGTGGTGATGTTAGATGATGCCTGGGAATTCTAGGTCTTTTAATTGAAACCTTCATACAGTCTTCAGACACGGTTTGATGTTTAAAATGGAGTTAGAATTTATTAAAGTTCCAAATTCAAAATCGGAATAAAGTAAAAGTAAAAAACAGAATTTGTCAATACCATTTCTGAAATTTGCCCTGGCTAATACCAGTGTCGAAAACCGAACTAGGTTTGTTAATGCTCGCAACAGATGCAAACTAAGAATAAATGAAAGCAAAGAACTTCACAATCAGAGAATCACGGATGAATTGCTTGCCAATCCCAACGGGTCTACGAGTCATCTATCAATTAATAGTCGTTATATCCTAAAGTACTTAGGTAGATACGCGATACAACTTCAGAGATGGAGGAAATCCTGAACGAAATTCATTTTTCGGCAAGAAAAATTCAAGAGATGCGATATACTTGCTATATTAGCGGCGACATTAGACACAAGTCACATAAACAACAGTTGTTTTGTTATTTATTTATATAGAGGAAGATAGGTTACTTTGAATGCATTATTTCATTCCTCTTTTTCAAGTATTTAAATAATTTTTTAAAGAAAAAGGTTGAAATGATAAGTTTAAAATGCGTTGTTTTAGAGGTCTTTTATGAAAACTATTTGATTTTCGTCAGGAGGAACATTCCCCATTGTAATACACTATATTTTGCTCAATTTCGATTGGAAAGCCGCATATTCTTGGTGTTGCATACTAATCTTTCGGAAAAAACATATTGGTATTCATTTTGAGATGTAGAAATATTCAACAGATAAATTTGATTGTGCTCGCTCTTATATCCTCGATTTCCTCTAATGAATACATAGAGTGAACACTGAGAATACCATCTCCACTATCAAAAACATAAAAAAGCTACTCATGATTCCAAACTTCACTCAGTATCTACTAGTAGTAGTATTATCTAAGGATTTTTATCCTTGATTGCATCGGTACGACGACTGAAAAACTGCCTAGAACTCTGTTTCAATTACACCTCTGTATATAGACTTATATACAAAGATAAACATGTGCCTACCCAGCCACAGTATAGCTAAACTAACATTCTACCTTTGTATATAGAGTCTTTATACAAAGATTCTACTGTGGACCGGATCAGGATCAATTTTGCCAACTGACCGCAAACGTTAACGGCTTCGTAGAGAAATTAGATTTATTTGATTGGGTTTGAATGGTTGGAGGCCACAACAAACCCTTGCGGGTTTTAGTGTGGAACCGTAGAATAAGTGTCCAAGGTTTTCTTGGATTTTCCTTAAACTTGTTCGGTGCTGCCATCTATTGAAAACTCTGTATTCAAAAGTACAGAACTTTCTGAATGATGCAGTTTCTGTACCTCCAATCGGCAGTTCGACTTGCTTCAGGAAATCATTTATAGGTGACGATAGTAGTTGATGTAGTAATTGTATTGAACTGAAACTTAGTGTTCTATATGAAATCGAGTTGAACCTACTATTCAGTCTACGAGTGGGTTTATTGGATGCATAAACATAACTTAATTGATAAATATAAATTTATAAGCAAATCATTTTCCTCAGTTGAAAACTGTCACCTGTCACTTCATTCATATCAGAAATTTTTGTTTCATGATTCAAGAATTTAAAGTTTTCAATTAAGGGGGGATAGAGGTGCAATTTACTTTACAAGGTTATGTTCACTATTTAATTCTTCAAGTTATGCTCATGCCTCCGATAAACCGACTCTAGGTTCAATATTCTACAATTTTCTATTTTTCAACTTCAACGTTTGATCTCCCTCTATGATCATAGTCTATGGTTTTAGTCCTAGGAAATGATTAAGTTTTGTCACAGATTAATCTGTGGTTTTGTGTTTATTTCAATGTCAAATGCCACGTGCTGCTGTCAATTGTCAATCATCTATCAATTTTATAGTTTTATAATGAATCAGATTTTATTGTGAAATATTGATATTATAGGCAATTACTGAAATACGATAATGTATCTTAGACTAATTTAGATAAGAGTACAGTTGCGAGAAATCTTGGTTTTATTTCAGTTCGCATTCAGCCTTTAACCGAGCTAGTGAGTCTATTATATAAGATAATTTATATATTTAAAACGATGTTTCTCCTTTAAATTTGATGGCCATGGGAGCCTAGAAGACGTAATATTAGATAATTGACTAGTCAGTAGGAATGTTGGAGAAAATGGTGTACAACATCGACTGGATAATTCCGAAATTGCGGAATCCCACAAAATTATGGAACATTGCCAGTACTTTAACTGTAGCAGCAGTAGGACTATTCAGTAAAATTTTAATCCGTAATAGTACATCGTTTGAATGATTTACGAATTCGTTATAATTCTCTCCATTTTCAGATTGGCTTAACCGAAGCAGGATACACAACAGTGACGTTATAACTGATCTTTTAGACAATAGGCCAAAGCATGTACCTTTGATTACGTATTCAAATCACCACTCTTGCTTCGATGATCCTGGGCTGTGGGGTAAGTGAATTACTCTATTAGTATGGCACAAATCATCAGTTCTACAGTACTATTTTCTGTTTTCTGATAGTAAAGAGTAATAAATGCAAAACGCTAACAAACTGATTTTGTTATGATTTGCCACAGTCGATCTTTATTTCTAGAAATATTCCTTTTTTTCTGCCATATGGCAATTCCAACAACCAGATAAGGTTTGTTAAGTTACTTTTTTGTTTATAAAAACGTCAAAAAGTGTCAGTACAATGAACATTATCGTTCAGTTAGAATATTCTCTCATTTAGTTTTCGGTTATAATAGTAGAAAGGTACCACCTCAACAATCTCTAAAATGGTTAATTCTCGTCCATTGGAAGAAAAAATTTAAGTGATTTTTATTTATGGTGCGACTCGTAACTTTCACGAGAATGAAAGGATTTTCAATGAACATTTTCCGAATAGTCCTATCTGTAGAAAATAATTGAGGGAACTTGTATTCAAATTTACAACTACCGGTAGTGTACATTTGTATATCACTCTTATCAGAAGCATTTTGGAATATGCTTCTATTATCTGGTGTCCTCAATATAATTGTCACAAGTATAGCATAGAAAGAGTTCAAAACAAGTTCCTGAGGTATCTTCACTTCAAAGAAACGGGTAACTATGACCTTGATATTTCCAAAGTAGTGCTACTTGTAAAGTACAACATACAAACCCTCGAGAAAAGAAGAGTATTTGCATACTTAATATACTTGTACAAGATGAAACATGGTGAAGTGGATGATCCCTGTCTTCTATCAAAAATCAATTTCAATGTACCTGCTTATGAAACTACATTGTTTCGCACATTTTATATTGAATTGGCAAGAACAAATTATTTTCAAAATGCTCCATTAAATGCTATGTGCAATGTTTTAGTGTCGAATGTACATTTTTTTCAAACGGCGATGTTCAGAGAAAACCTTTACGTTTTCCGGGAAACACATACCCAACATCCAGGAAAAAATTAACGTTTAGGCAGGAATATTGGGAAACCATATTGTAGAACCTCTATTTATTGATCAAAATTCAACAGGGGAACTGTATTTGAATATGCTGGAAACTACTGTTGACCCTCTCATCACTGAAATCGTCGAAGCGAATCCTAATGAATTCGATATGGATATTGCATCCCAACAAGATGGAGCACCACCACATTACTCCAGTCAAGTAAGAAACTATTTGGATACTACTTTTCCCGGTCGTTGGATTGACCGTCGAGGTCCTACAGAATGGCCAGCTCGCTCGCCAGATTTGACACCTTTGGACTTTTTTTCATGGAGCTATTTGAAGCAACATGTGTACGAAACTTGACCTGGATATACGGCAGAGAATAATAAATATTTGTAGAGATATTGACGTTACTGTGTTCTAAAATGTTCTGTTCATATGTCAAGAAGTCCAAGGCAATCATTTCAAGCATCTTCTGAACTGACCTCAAGCTTATTACCTCATATGTAGTTGAATGTCAATATATTCAGGCAATTATTGAAAGTTCCGCCATTTTGTAGTAGGTGAAGGTATTGATTTCATATTGTAGGATTGTGAAGTGTTCGTCAGGAGCTTCAAAAAGATGTGTCACAAGACTCCCCTTTCCAGGTAATTTTTTTTCCCAAATGGCGTCTAGTCGCCATTTCGGAAGTTTCATCTGTCAATTTCACTGCGAAATAAAGTATTCATGCATTAATTTCATTATCCCAAATTTTTTGACCCTTGTGGCACTCCTCTTAATATTTTTCTTTTTTCACTTTTGGTATTTCCTAGATCAACAATTTGATATCTTTCGTTAAGGTATGACTTCATCATGTCCAGGTATAGCGAAACACGTGTCGTAGTTTTGTAAACTTTCAAGTGAAACTCTCACATTGAAGTGTTTTTTGAATACGCCAGATACATTACATTGTTGCATTAATATTCAACTTTGAATATACTGAGCCCTTACTTGATGAAAATCGATAGTAAGTTTCATAATAATTTAATATTATAGGTAGACTTAGTATTAACATTATTCGACGAATTGGGGGAATTGAAAAATCGTGCTCGCAAGCATCATGATAAATTAATAGCTGTGATATGAACCTCTTTGCATCTAATATTGTTTCTGATATCCTCTTGCACTATATTGATAAAGATAAGGTTTCATTGTTGAATCAATTGAAATCCTCACTGCAATTAAAGTGATGAAATAATTTTGCCTTGGAATCATTTCGGTTGAGGTCTTGTTAATTGCCAAAATTGTTTATGAAAGTGAATTTTGTTTATCCTTACCATAAAAAATAAAAGCAAACAACTTGTATTAGTTTCCTGCATTGTTTACAGTTCATTTTCCAAACAAAGATAATTTCATCTTATTAGTGCTGATTAAAAAACAACTTTAATCTCGGATATTTCTAATATTTCTATGTTTATTCCTTTCAGATATCAGATTTCTGGTTATGTAAACCATTTTTATTGTTTGTTATAATCGAAAATAAGTAATGAGGAGAGATACATACGAGGTCTATTCGAAAAATAAAATGAATGTTCAAATTTTTGAGCTATGTACGTCTCGAACATCACAGTGTTCGACAATTTTCTGCTATCGAAAAAATGAATCGTGCAAAAAATCGATTCTATTATGGACTATGCTTCCGACGGCAAAAAAAAAGATTTTTGTGACCTTTGGTTCACAGATGGATCAAAAATACCTTCCGGTTCTGGTGCAGGACAGAGTTATCTACCTGCCTAGGAACTTATGCGACTGTATTTCAAGCGAAAATTTATGCTACTGAATTGTGTGCGGAGAGATTTGGATACATCCAACTTCATACACAAGTCAATAAAAATATTCTCGAAAAGTCGGGTGTTGGGAGCTCTTGGCTTGATGAATACGTGTGAGCCACAATAAACCCTTGCGGGTTGCGGTGGAGGGTCGAATGGACCCACTCACTTTAGACCTAACCTAACCTAAGTATATACATGGTGTAACTGAATAAGTGTAAAACATTTAGAGAGGTGATTCCGTATCGAAAAAAAGATAGGATCTTTCATATAAAGAAACTTCATTGGAGCATCCCTTGTTAAGATACAGCCCCTTAAAGGGGGTACATAAAATTTGTATAACAATTTTTTTTACAAGCACTGAAGAAGTTACAATATTGAAATGAACCTGACGTTTTGTACTACCAAAAAGACACTTAGCCAGATATTTATTTGGTTTACCCCATGGTTGTAAGGGGTGGAAAACGCAACCCCTAAAATTTATTTCCAATGTAACTTTTTGTCTTATTATTTGTTTACCATTTNAAATAAATTACTGGCTAAGTGTCTTTTTGGTAGTACAAAACGTCAGGTTAATTTCAGTATTGTAACTTTTTCAGTGCTTGTGAAAAAAATTGTAATACAAATTTTATGTACCTCCTTTAAGGGGCTGTATCTTAACAAGGCTCCAATGAAGTTTCTTTATATGAAAGATCCTATCTTTTTTTCGATGAGGAATCACCTCCTTAAATGTTTTACACTTATTTAGTTACACCCTGTGTATCTATCATATCTTGTTGCAGGCACCCTGAAACTTCGGCACCTTTTGAATAAACATGTGATGAGATGGTCTCTAGCAGCTCATGACATATGCTACACCTGTGCGCAGCATGCCACGTTCTTCAGTCTGGGGAAATGCATTCCTGTCATTAGAGGAAAAGGAGTGTTTCAAGATGCCATCGATTTTTGTATAGAACAGCTAGCGAAAGGGGGATGGGTCCATATTTTTCCTGAAGGTTTGTTTACGGTTATATATACATTTTTTTTAAAGAAGCACTTGATAGAAACTTAAACTCAATCAGTCGAAGTATGGTTTTTCGTCTAAGATACACTCTTACTAAAAAAGGTTGTATACAGGCTGAACCAGATACCGGATCACCTTGAAAATCCAATGGAGGGCATATTCGGACATTCTTCAGCCAACTACGATTTGATCTTCGCAAACTTCATTTGAAAAATATATCAAGACCGGTTTCTCTGCACAGTAGCTTCTTCAACAGTGATTTGAATACTAAAAGTTGCTTCTTACGCTAATATTGATATACCAAAAGTAACTAGAATTGGTACTACTTCCATCAAATTACCTAAACCTCTACAATTGTTATATACGTGAGGTACCTCTTCAATTATGATTACCTGAAGCATACTACCTCACTTCTACATCAATAATAATACCTCCTCGGTTTTTTAAGAAAACAAAAGTTCAATAATGGTGATCTATTCAAATCCAGTTGGTCATTCATTACAATATTTGAATTTGTAAGTTTATTAATTTCCATTGCTTCCAAACGATTCAGTTTCAAACCTTTATTTTCTATGTGCAAAATNACATGTCTGTTGTGATTCTGTCAAATTGAAAACTTGCATAATAAAATATATTAGGAAGAGTTGGAAATTATAAAAGCGATTGAAATTAAAAAAATGTAAAAATTTATTCATTTGAGTCATAACCTTCAAATACTTCTTCTTGTCGTTCTTCTTCTTGGTCTTCTTCTTCTTCTTCTTGATCTTCTTCTTCTTCTTGATCTTCTTCTTCTTGATCTTCATCTTCTTAATGTTCATCCTGGGTGTAGGGAAACTGCGTCAAGAATGATGTATTGCATGTTTCCTCGTTGGTATCAAATTAATCCTCCACTATTGGTGATTCAGCATTAGAACATGACTGGCCTTGACAATGTGTACATGCCAGATAACACAACAGTCCAACTTTTTGACAACCAATTTAGCACTGCATCCCTTTTTGCAGTTGCAAAAAATTGTGTTCAGCAGTTTTTCCGGCGCAGGTGGGAGTAAAGTCTGAATAGGTTCTGATGCATTGTCGACCAACTTCCAACCCCAGTCTTTTGGGTCTAGCTGATAACTAAGCCACACTTGAACTTGGTGATATACCCGAAAAAGATGTTGATGAGCAGCAACTGAGGTTGGAGGAAGACAAGCTAATTGCACCTGTTTCTTTTTTAAGATGCATATCGATACTTATCTAAGCAGGTGTTTTTTCTCGGAGCTTTGTACATTGAAAGAAAAAACACTTTTTTTCGAGATTTTTGACCTCGAATGAATTTTTTTACAGGCATCGCAATCATTCGTAATTTTAAAACCTTATTTTTAACTATGTTTTGAATAATTACACGCATTTGCAGCTTGTTGTAAATTTATGTACCTTCACTCTTATTTTTTAGTCTAATTTGACCGGACTATGTACCGAATATCAGATCAATCTGTCAAACTACTAAATTTGACTCAAACAGACAGGGAAAGCTGAATAAAACTGTTTAATAAACTGAATCTTTCTGCTTACTTCTCTTAAGCATGTGGTTTATTGGCAGTTATTCACATTTTGTTCCATTCAACTCTATCTTCACCGCCTCATTTCAAACTGTGTTCTGACAATGCCGGTCCTGCCTTTTTCTCAATTTACTAAGAACAATAATGATCAATATAATTTTTTTTCTTCCACAACCGTTTGATTTCCAGGTAAAGTGAACATGACGAAAGAAAACATGAGACTGAAATGGGGCGTCGGCCGGATGATCTACGAGTCGCCCGTCACGCCGATCGTCGTCCCGATCTGGCACGTCGGCATGGACGACGTCCTCCCCAACGAGCCCCCCTACGTGCTCAAGATCGGCAACGAGTTGACCTTCAACTACGGCCGACCGCTCGACCTCACCGAGTTGGTCAGTGACTTGAAGAGGAGGCGAGCGACGAACGAGCAGGCTCGCAAGGAAATCACCGACTTTCTGCAGGAGACGCTGCTCAAACTCAAGGCGGAGACGGAGGAGTTGCACCGGAAGAACTTCAAGGCGCGGTCGTGATGATGGCCGAAGCTCTCCTGACGCGTGGTGATGTAAGTTGTCTTCGTTAAATGTTAGGTTAGGTTTTTCGGATGGAAGGGCGCCTGCGTTCCTTTTCCAGGTTGTGGATACTCTTTGGACTCAATTTGGGAACACCACCATCCATTAGAAACCTCTGATGACCTTCAGGCAAAAATAATAATGTCATATCCCAAACAGTTACCATCCAATCCCAAAGGCTTTAATGTCATTCTCTTTTTTCACTCAGCTGAAGCTAAAAAGCCTACAAAAATATATTAAGCGCGTATTATTTATAAGACTATTCAACATTAGATTTTATATCGAAGCACCCAAGCTGTGAAATATCTAAAAAATCATTGCGGAGAGTGTGACAACCCTTTGAACGGTGGTGTCCTGCAATAATTTTGACGTTACAGTTACTGCTTTTGCTGTATCGCTCGTTTCATTCCAAAAGGTATTTGTAATTTTTTATGTAGTAGAAAAAGGAATCACTTTTCTTATACAATCAGTGTAAATGGAGTGTGACACATCAATGTTCCGCTGTATTTTAGCCTAATTTTTAAGTTATTTTAGTGGTAATTTTGTGAATGTTTTATTTGTTGAATTTATTATGGTTTTACTCCTGCTATATATGTGAAAAAAGTTGTTGAAAGTGTCGACCGGTATGTTGCTTTTTGACTTCTCTCTAATAAAGGCAATTTGTTATCGAATATCTCTTTGTTTTTGAATCCACTCCCACAAAGATTCGAGAAATCGATAATTTTCCACCAGACGTCACCAGTACTGTACTATATTTATAGTGGTTGTTTATATCATTGAAGAATTTGACTAACAAGACCCAAAAATTTCATCAAATACTTTATTATACAGGGTGGGCCATCGAAAACTTGGCATGTAGGTTTTGGGTACTAATCTTGTAAATCCTAAAAAACGCTCAGACAGATTGGAAGGGGGACATTTTTTCCCTATTTAGAGCGTCGTCACTTCAACTCCGGAACCAGGTTCAATTCAGTGCCACAAAAACCCAGGCATCGGTTTTCTCCAAGAAGATAAATGTCTCCGGATATAAAAATATCAGGATGGAATGAGTATCGATTACGTCACACGTTTCCTTCCCCCACTCCCGTTTGAGCCAGAACATACATTGTTCATCTACTGGTTTGAATTTCCCGCTGTATGCGCGGTAGCTTCTGATTGGTCGACTGGGTAATGACGAAAAGTGGAGGTGAGCTTTGAAGGCTAAGGCTCAGTTCACACATAATGGACGTCTGGCAGAGCCGAGGCGCTGACCTTTGCCCCTCCCGTATAAAGTGGGCCTAAGGTCCAAAAAGGTCCAGAATGAACCGGCTCAAATTTACACGTGTTTTTCCATAAGGAATGGCTTAGAACTCCTATAGCTATATTACTCACCTCAGCAACTTTTTACGCTTTATAAAAGCTCAGATCAAACCTTCTTTGGAGTATTTTTTCATGTATGGAACTCTAAGCATAACTGGGAAACTGCGTTTATGTGGAATAAACTTCCTGAGGACGTTTTTTCAAGTGGATTTAATCTCCAAATCTAACGTGAATTGTTACTTTCGCATAGATCTTGCAGCGCCTTAAGGATTTTCCGGTAGTGCTTGTCTTTGGTCCTTAAAAAACATGGTTTTGACACAGTTATATCCTGGAGTGTCAGTTTAGATTCATTGAATGAATGACGATCAATAAAAAACAATTGATGTTGTAGAAATATTTATTTTAATAATGTAGTTAAATATAGTTACCGACAACCTATCAAACGTTGTGTAAGTATTGATTGATCTCTCGTTTCTTCTCGAACACTGGACGTCCTGAAAATATGAATAACTCAAAATAGATGATCATGATTCTTTGCACAAGAGTCTGGTAATTGCTACTGATAATGGAGGTTTTTGAATACGACCCTGGCCAATTCTTGGGATTTTCAATATCACGTGCGTAGGGCATGTCAATGTTTACATCCACTCTATCTTGGATTTGAATTTGCTATAGCAGAAGACTTTGAGAAGATATGTTACATCTGAAGTGTACAATACACAAGCATAGTGAATAGAATAAGAAGTGCTTTCAACGAAATTACCACAGGAACACTTTATAATGTGTAAACAGACTTCTCTTTTAGTACAATTAATGAATGCATCCCTAAATGAGAAAAATTGACCCTAGCATGGAAAAACTTCAGGATAATAACTATTTTTGAAAATTGACACAAGTTGGATCCGTCAAACTATCATCAGATCAGCTTATCGTGCCTTTCCTGCAAATCATGGAGAGAATTATAACCGAAGAACTAACTACTTCTTTCTTAGAGACTGGAGTAGGTACTTAAAAACCAGCAACATGGATTTCTCCGTGGTCGATCCATAATTTTAAATTTACTGAACTGTGTCAACCATTGTGGACTTGAGAACTTGACGTGAGTCGTCCTGTCGAAACATTCATAATCTTCCAAGGACACAACTCAGTGAATTTCGACTTTTTTGTGCGGGGTAATGATGAAAGGCTGAGAGGACATCCATTTGAAATAGTAATAGAAAGATTCCTAAAACTGTGCCGCCAAAATTTTCTGTGCAACCGTGTTTTCTTCCACTAGAATGGCCTGCCTGAGCATGAGTTTGTGCTCTATTAATTAATGATTCAGAAACTGCTCTGGATAATTACTGGAATTGTAAAAAGTTGCTTTTAATTTCGGAGTGAACCGTCTGAATATCCCGAACAAACAGTCGGCAGCCATCTTGATTTCGAATAAGTTGGAGCCTGGCTCCCTTACCCTTTCAACTAGCGTTTGTCAAAGGTACAAATGGGTCATGACTGAATCGTTGTGGCGGTATGAAATTCCTCAGACTCAGACATCAGTACCGCTCTTCACGGGGTACCCCTGGCTGGCTGGGGTAGGATGGATGAAAAATCTATTCGTCCGTTAACGGGGGACATAAGGGCCTCTTTCGAGAGAGTGTCGGGGCCTTCTATATCGGGAGGAGTCGTCTACAGCATAATCTATAGCTTCCTTAACTAACAGTTCCGAACAAACAGACCAACGTCATCTTAATTTCGAACAGGTTGGAGCCTGGCTCCCTTACCCTTACGACTGGCCCGAACAAACACCAAGTTCATCCCCAGTTCATTCAGGTTGCAGCTGATTTTCGTCAGAAAGACAAATGGGTTCGTGAGTGAAGAGATGTGGCGGTATGAAAGTCTTTAGACAACAGTACCGCTCTTCACGGGGTCCCGAACAAACCTCTGCCTGCACGTCGTCTTGATTTCATCCAGGTTGGAGCCCAGCTCCCTTACCCTTTTAGGTGATTTTTGTCGAAGAAGGACAAATGGGTTCATGCCTGAGGGGATGTTGGCGGCATGAAGTCCTCAGACATCAGTACCGCCTTTCACGGGGTACCCCTGGCTGGCTGGGGTAGGATGGATGAGAAATCTATTCGTCCGTTAACAGGGGACATGAGGGCCTCATTCGACAGAGTGTCGTGGCCTTCTATATCGGGAGAGGTCGTCTACAGCATAATCTATAGCTTTCCTAACTAACGGATTTTTGTGAGTTTCCGGGCTATCAAAAACTCGCCGATTCCTCGACTGAATGGACTGCCGAATGGAAGGCAGCTGCAAATCTCTGCGGATGGCTTCATTCCGCACGAACCAAGGAGCATTCACAATCATCCTCATTAACTTGTTTTGCAATCTCTCCAGAATGGAGATATTATATGTCGCCGCTTGTCCCCAGACGCCTGAAGCATACATGATGACAGGCTTGAACATCGTCTTGTAGATGGTAATCTAGTTCTTTACACTCATTTTGGAGTTTCTGTTGGTACAGACTAGCTATCCGACCCTCGATCTTTGACTTAACACACATAATGTGCGGGTTCCAAGTGAGCCTACGGTCTATTAGAAGGCCGAGGTACTTTACCCGCGCTTGCCAGTCAATCTTCCTTCCAGAGATACTCACTTTTCTGGCCGGAGAAGATAGCAATCTTCCCATGGTTATCGCTGAGTCTTGTCCGGGTTCACTCGGATCTTCCAATCGAGGTACCAGCGCTCGAGGTCGTTCAGTGCACATTGCATGTAGACGACGCCGAGCTCTCGACCCATGGAATAATCGTCGTATCACCTTCACACGCTCGGGCCTCGAAAGGTCACTGGTGTAAAGTGAATACAACGTCGGAGAGAGCACGGGAGCGCGGCCCTCTGTGGCACTTCAGCGAGGATCTCTCTGAGAGTCAGACAGAGAGTCCTCTACTCTAACCTGAAATGTTCTGTCTTTCAGGAAAGACCCAATCCACCGGATCAGGCCCAGAGGCAGGTCGAACGCGATTAATTTGTGCAGAAGGCCTTCGTGCCATACACGGTGGAAAGCCTTTGAGATGTCTAACAGTACAATGTGCCCTTTTTGTGCCCCACCGAACAAACAATCAGTCATAAGCTCTTTCTGGAGTTGATTCAGTAGGATGTACCACTGCGCCACCTGCAGACAAAGTCCGGAAGCAACTCCACAAACACATTCTGAAAGTGTTTCTGCTAGCGGAAACAATGAATTGTCATGTTCTATTGATTGATTTGATTGTGGAGATGATATCTATTGCTTTTCTTGCCAACATTGCACAAAACCTACAAACTACCAACCTTTCAACATAACGCCGCACTTGTGCCCACCACGTCATGAAAGGAACTACTACTACTACTACTTATACTCACCGAGTGGAACCGAACGTCTCCGATATGCTTCTAGACTGTTTCTTGGCGAATTCTGGCTGGATATAGATTGTTCTTCGTGCGATAAATCTTTGATTAAATATCTGCAAGAGAGAAAACAATTGAATTTCAATAGCGACATCTGTTAACTGTGGTGAAAACGGGAAAAATGAAATGTTAATTCCAGGAAGTCACGAGTTTCCGTTTCAATTATTATGGTCATTGGAATAATGAAGTTGGTCTGAAAAATAGGCATTTGTTTTCTGATCAGCCGTTCCTTACTCTTTTGAAGTACCTTTAAGGTACCCCATCCCCCTTGTCAGCAAAAGTAAGCAAAGCTCTACCATGCTACGTAAACATTATTATATGCATTTTTCGTTTTTTACAGATAGACAATACGTGGGATGCCATATGTGCCATCTAGATCCCCCGCCCCCATGTCATCAAAAATAAGCAGAACAAAGACCTTGTTAGAGTTAGTATTAATTATACTGAATTATAGGCAAAAAAAATGTGTTGTGAAGACTTTTATTCAAACTAAAAATGACAGACATCAGACAACCACAAATTACAGCAAAAAGCAGCTTTGCTAGTGATTGACATATTGACATGACATTCGTACAGCAAACTGCATTACCGATATTAAGAGATGTACAGTATTAGAGATGGGCGCTATTATCAGGGCTGCTCGCCTGGCTATAGAATTGTACGAATTGCTATACAGTTCAATATTTTTTCGTACATGCATACCACATTGACGAAAAGCATACATTTTGACTTTATTTGGTTTTGAATTGATTCGAACAAGGCCATGGTATATATTTACAAATTTCAATCACTTCGTCCTTCGATAGTCCAGTAATCTGTCTATTTATGTCTTCCGTCTCATTATGAAAGGCGTGTCCGTCTGTCATAGAACTCATAGATCACGATCACGTCGATCATAGAGCACTTATTTTTCAGATCAGTCAAATCTGTCGAAAACCGCTGACGCTAAAAGAAAAATAAATCCACAGTGAGAAAAGAGAAATGACGAATTTTAAATAAATATTTATGAATGGTAGTTGGTAGTTCACCTAACCCCTCTTGATTTTTATTTTAGGAGACTTTGTGTTGTCATTTGATTTGATACATAATATAAGCTGAAGCTAGATTAGTGAATGCAGAATTTTCAAATAATATTAATGCAAATAGTAATCAAATCAATAAATTTGCAATAACCACTTCAAAATATTTAAATTTCACATACGAGGGAGTGTCTGCGCATGCGCTAATCGCTTCATTCCATCTTTGCATCATGTGGGAAACTGTCACTTGTCAATTATTCTGATGACAGTGTTGGCGACCATTGATGCTATACAATTATAGCGAAAAGCATACACTTTCATTTGTCATTTTCGTACAAAATTCTTTTGTCTTGGAGAGCAGCACTGGCTATTATTCTTCGATAATATTAACACCTATAGTGATTACGTAGGATTTGAACTGCTTCTTCTCAAGTCATTTTTCAGACTTGGATGTAAGTGTTTATTTTTGTTACGCAACAATCCAATGACAAATCCTATCCTATCCTAACAGTTCTAAAACATTGAACTATTTACAATGTACTCCATAGCTAATTCAAAACCGTCACCAATTATGCCAGAAATTCCTTTTATAATAAACGAAACCTTGACATCAAAAAAACTAGTACTGATGAAGGTTTTGTTTTTAGGGATGAATCACCACTCTAACTCAGCCAAAAGCTATAGGTCAGATAGTTTACTGTCAGTAATACAAAAACTCATTGATAAAAAAGCGTATCGGCATTTTCATGAATATTTGGAATGATTTTTTTCTTAAGCGACCATTAACACTATTTCAAAGGGAATCTTAAACTCGGGGCGTAATTTAACGCCTCTACGAATACTACTGTTCAAACGACACATGCTGGTGCATTTTATTCCGCTGGCATCAATTGAGTCTTCTGGAAAATCGAATGTGTGGGAGTGTTTTATTTACCGCAACGGATTCTTATATGAAATGATCAGTCCTACAATTATGACCAAAAATTTGCTTGAAAAAAGCAGTCTGAGGATGCAAAAGGCCTCTCTATTGTCTTTTGTTACAGCTGCGACTTGAGAAAACTCCACAAAAAAGTCTACAACTGATTTGACAGATGTAGCTTCAACAATATGGCTGTTATCAATTATCAGAGTTCGTTAGTCCCTATCTTCCCGTTATAATATCTATACAAATTAGGTGGAATTTAGTCAGGACGAACAGACCCGAGGAAACTATTATATAGTTGGAACATGTGTTGCGGTTTTTAAACTATTCAATGGAAATCTCACGATAAAGTGAATACGCTATAGATTTTCCTCAAGTATCGGCCAATTCCAACACAAAACTTACGCAGAATCTACTTCGTCCGCATCTCGGTTAACGCTCTCGATGACGCTTCTTCTTCTGATAGCTCCCTGTTTGGGGGCCCCGTCATTTGAGGAATCCGACTGTTTCCTGCTTTTTAGCAGCCCGAACCATTTTTTCTTCGAAGGGGCCCTATGAATTCATATCATGCATTAAATTGTGAGACTTCTTGCGTATAGATAGGTGACCAAATACAGTTTTTGTTGGTTTTATATCTACTCTGTATTCGAAATCAGGAGGGAACGTTCGATTAGCGATTTTTTATTTTTATATGTTGGTTCTTCCCCGACAGTTCCGATAACCAGATCTGTCGGAGTTTGTACTTATATTTTTCGCGGAGAGAGTTATTCACTTAAGCTACCTCTTGTGAGTGGCGTTGTCCCCTACGTCTCTCTGGCATCCAGATGGTGCAGGATGCTTCTCTCTACGGGCTGCACATCCTCTCCGTAATCTGCGCCATCATTCTATTTTGAGATAGTCCGTTGTACATTAGTCTATCCCAAATTTCATACCCTTAAGGACTGACGGAGATACATTTCTCTGGAGTCTAAGATCACTCCATCTGAAAGTGACCCGATTTATTTAGACTCTACTCTGACCAGATGTTATGGTGAAGCGAGTCCTTCAGACTGGTATCAGTTGTTCAAGGCATCTCAGCAGGTATCTGAGCAGAAGCAGGATGAGCTCATGAGATGTCAAACCCTGCCCGACGTGGATCATTGACCATTGGGTCCAAGAATCGTGATCTATTTTTTAGACGAAGTTTGCGCTGGTCAGATCCTATCCCCAGAAGCCCCGATACATTCGGGAGGGCGCGCCAGCATTATCAACCAATGGCCACTTCCCGTTGGTCCAAGAATCATGTGCCCTAAACAAGCGCAGTGAGCCAAGAATGACATCCTTCTGCGTTTGTCTGGCTAAGATTTTTTCATAAGTGCGGCAAGTCGGCATTATTTTGATATTCAAGAGTAGAGAGGGTATCATTCCACCAAGGACTCCAATAATCAGAAAAACTATTTTGACAGAGAGGTCTGGATAGAGTCTGCGGAGTTCGAGGAGAAAATTTTCGTTTTTCCCCTCTTTTCGGACGATATTCCTCTCGCCAGGAGCTGAAAACTCCACGACAAATATCGCCTTGCTCTGATGGTTGAGAAGGACTACATCAGGCTTGCATCAGCTTGCATAAGCCTGAGGGTGTGGAACGAATAGTTTAGATAAATTCTGCACTTCTTGTTCCCCACAACGGATTCAATATCCCCCGGAGCGTAGGGCAACACCGGTGTCTCGTCAATACCGTTAGAGGAATGCTCCAATTCCTGCTCTTTCATGATCGCGGACCATGCACAGAAAAGGATCCAAACTTCTGACAACTTTACAGGCCCCATCCAGTTCCATTCTGTCAGTATCATTTTTTTCATTATTATAATTACAATTACTGTATAGTGTCTCCGATGTGCCAACTGGCATATAGACCTGAGAAAAAGTTTTACCTTTCCGTAGGACTGACCAGCGATCTGCCTCTCGGTCTGTTGACTGCTTCTTCGTTTTTCTTCCTCTCTTCTTTGACGATATTCTCGAAGAAAGAATTCTGGGTCATTCCTTTGCGTGTTGCTTTTTGGAAATCGGAAGAGGAGGATGGGCTGCCTTGCGAATCTGATTCCTTTTCTCTGGGTACATTTCTAATAGTATCCACGCCGCTCCAGCTTATAGCACTTACTCGTCTCTCTAAAATAATTATCTCAAACAAGTGGATGTAATAATGTACCTAACGTGTTTTTGATGGAAGTTTAAAAGGTATCAAATATCAGGGAAGTGCCAAGAAAGAATACTCCGTATGACTGAGGAATGTAAGCTTTAACGGCCAGAGATAACTACGACAAAGCTGTTTTTCGGGTTTCTGACCAAGGTCTGCAGGACTTTTGCCTGATGTTTCAACTAATACCGCGGTAGATGTTATCAAAGGCGATTAGGTAACGGTCGAAGTGCCCGATCTGCAGACCACAGCAAAAAAAACGGAAAACAGCTTTCACACAACAGTCCGGGTGTTTAATAAATATCCTTATGCATGCAAATTCGTTAATTTCGTTCTCCAGATAAAATGAACCATTCCACTTGTGCTCCAGGTCTGTAGATTTTATGGAAAAAAAGAACGATGGGGTAGATTCTGTGAACAGCCTAGTATTTTCTCCACTGAAGACTTATATGATTTATATACATATTTGTCGAATTTGATATGAGTACTACCATCGACATAACGTTATAAGTTATAGGTTATGTCGGTGAGTATTACTCTAAGAAATAGGTGCGTTCTGACTTATATATGTGTTCCGTGTTCAGAACAACGAACAAGTGTGTGTGATCTGTCAAGTCTAGGCAAATGTTCTATCAAGTGAAGTTAATATAAATTCAATAAATAAATTCTACAATACTTGATAATTATATCATAACACGTTCTAGTATAAAAACTAATTTTTTTTAATAGACTTTATCCTGGAACTTTTCTTTCGGAAAATTTTTTCTCTGCCTCTAAACTTTGTGAAACTTTTATTATACTATATTTACCTGCTGCTATTATAGAGATATATTTATATAAATCACATATTTCTTTCGCTTAGACTAACATATAGTTTGACAAGTGTGCCAATTTGACATAGTGCTTACCTTGATTGAGACATTCAGGGACTGGTCCCTTCTCTTACACTACCGACCGAATGAATATCGTCTACCGGGGATGCACGCTAATACCGTGCTGTGAACATTGAATAGAAAGACAAAAGAAATAATTTAAGAAAACGTTAGGGTAGAAAAATGGAAAAAAATTGAAATTGAGAGAGATAGAGACCAAATAAGAGTAATGTAATGTTACTTTTGTTTTCTTCTTAGCAAACCCTTTCATTTGTACCCATATTATGAGGGCGCATAAAAATCTAATCCGCCATATTGGATTTAGAAGGAATTGATGTTATTTTCTGTGTACTTTTCAGCAAACCATTTCATTTGATACCCATATCATGGTACACCGCCCATTTTGGGCGGGGACTAAGTGGGACTAATTTGAAGGGGAATACATTAATAATTTTTGGAGATACATGAAAATTCATGTTTTCTTTTGAACAGACATCGTACATTGCAAGTTGAATGAAAGCTTGCAACTTACCTTGATGATTGCTGCTTGCTAGTTTCACCATTTTCGTTGCAGGATCGATCGCATCATCCCATATTATGCTGATTCTTCTAGAGTGACCATGAGGTTCCAGCATTTCTGCGAGAGAAATCGGTTCTGACTCAGTTTTGGTGGTAATGGTCCGGTCGGAGACTCCCTCTTTCTGCAGATCCATTGGATCCGATTCACGGGTAGTGTCACGTGACGGTTGTTTCAATACGAGTGTATCTGAAGAGAAAAAATCCGGTCTATAGGTGGAAATGGAATCTTTGCTGTGAAATTAATTTATTGAAAATAGTTTTCTCACACTAGAACAAACGTACTTATCCGATGGACTGCGACTCAGTCAAGCTAACGCCCAGACCCACTTTTGTCACTCGAAATTTCTAGAACGCCGCCTCTGTTCGAGGATTGTTTAATCGGCTTCTGAAGAGTTCCATCGAGTTGACGTGAATGTTCAAATTTCCCGGGCTACGTATATTCGACTAACGATTTTTAAAAATATTTTTATATTGGTTCACGGTTTCATCTGTTTAGCATGTTCAGTTTGTTGGTGAAAGGTATACAATTTGGACGTATTTTGCGTGTTCGGCGATTTTTTACTATCGAAAAAAATAGATCAACGAATTTGCATCAAATGTTGTCTGTGTTGATGACGCATGTCATCAACAACTTTGCCACAAGTATAATTCTTACTATCTGATTGCTTCTGTGAATCCATGCCCGATTCTTGAGAGTGACGTGTTGGGAGGTGGAAATCAGAAGGCGCCTTGAGTTGTGGCTCAGTCTGAATGAGTACTTCGGAAAATATGGGGATGTTCGATCTTTTTTGGTCACGAGATGTCACTTCGTCCGCTAGTCGTGCAGATTTTTTGTTCACAGATTTGACATCTTTCGGTTCCGGAACGTCAGGAATCTAAAAATGAAAAACGAACAGTTTATATATCTGTATGTAGGTCTTCAAGAAATTAAGAAGACCAATTCTATCCATGCGTTCCACCTTTTGGAGAACGATCACGATTTCAACGCTATGTACGACATAATGTAGAAGCTGAGGGCAGAAGTTGAACCTGCTGGAGTCTCTGAAAATAAATAAGGGGAAACGTTCGGATTCCCTGCTGAACGACCAACAGGATGTTGACCACTCACCATTGTTAAACATTTTTCCATATTACCAATAAGTTTAGTCATATTCAAAAATTCACCTGTTGTCGAAAGTGTAATTAGTTTACAAATTCTAGTCCAGCACGGCGCCCTGCTATGCTGGACATACTTTCGTGACTCCTATGAAATGGCTGAAACAAAACTGAGAAGCGACTCAAGCAGAAGAAGAAATGCAAAATCCATTTGTGAGAAAGGACACGATCCAAAGAACACCTCCAGAAGTGAGAACCGTACCCTTTCCGGAATAGAGGAGCTCAGTAGTCTTCAAGAGAAAGTGAATAGCAGCCAGACAAATAAAAGGAAAAAATTTACACAAGAGGACTTGCCACTAGGAAAGCACCAGGCCCGGACCAAATTCCAAACCGAGGAAGGGTATAGCGACAATGACGAGCATCATTGATGTTGTACTCAGACTACAACATTTTCCATATCCCTTCAAGGACGCAACGGTCATTCACATACCGAAGCCGAAGAAAAACCACTTATTTCCAGATAATCTTCGGCCAATAAGCTTAACCCCTCCGTTGAGCAGTAGCAAAACGAGTGATATGGAAAAGACTAGAGGACCAAACCATCGAACGAACAGTTCGATATCAGATCTGAACACTAAACAGAGCTACAAGTCCTGAGGGTAGAAGATTATGCGACTGAAGGTTTCAACCTGGGCAAAAGATACCACATCGGAGCGATATTCCTAGACGTCTCCAAGGCGTTCGTTAGAGTTTGGGCACGACTGACTATTTGCCAAAATGAGCAATTTTGGCTATTCGAAACAAATGGCAACACTAATCGAATCTTTTCTAGCAGACGGATGATGCCGTTGCAGAGTAGAACACGAACTCTCTACCATGCTACTTCTGGAAGCAGGGGTCTCACAAGGTGCAGTTCTTTCCCACACCATACACAGCAGACGTGCCCAAGCCAGAGAACAACTTCAACAAGTTGACACTCTACGCGGACGACACAGCTCTACTGACGAAATCTACTAGCCACGCGTAAGACACCAGATACTTTAAACAGCAAGCGGACAGATTAGTGGAATGGGTCAATCTTTGGAAAATCAGTATAAACCCTGACAAGAGTCAGGCGATACTGTTAATCCAGAGGCTGGTAATCCCGAAAGGGAACGTTATCTCAACGTACAAGAGATTCCGTGGACCAACGAAGCAAGATACCTGGGAGTCACCCTCGACAGGAGATTAACCTTCAGGTCCCACATACGGCAGAGGATAGGGCTGGCGAGATCCGCCAGACAGAACCTCAATCCCATACACGTATCTTTTGGAGGTTAGGGTTAACCAAAAATCATATGGATTCAATACCAGTGGCGCCATCTGTATCATAGCCAACAATCTTTTCAGACCACACAATAATAGTTCTTTGGAAAAAACCTTTGTGACTTTCCACTTTTCACTGATGACTCCATGTATCTAAGAAAATCAAAATATTTTTCCTCACTAACTAGAGTGAGCTTTGAATGCATTTTTATCAAAATTATGATATTCATAGTTTGTTTGCAGATTAAAAAAAACCTCGTATATTCCAGTATAGTGATACTCACTGCCTCGTTCAATAGCGTAGATTTGTCCACCATCAAATAATGATACTTCTCGTCGCCGAATACTGTACCGTGCGTCTTTTCCATTTGAAAAATGAACGCCTCGCCGGATTCTTCGTCTGGGACTCCACAATGGCCTTGTCGATCATTGTATAGCTTAATGACGGCATCGGGTTCGGAGTGACACATGCGCAGAAGATCCTTCAGGCCACACTTGAGGGTCTTGCAGCAGGTGGCGCACTCTTTGATGTCCGCTGCTGTTTCGGACACGACAAAAACGATTAGTAATTGATCTTGTTAAGTGATGCGACCCCATGGTTGCCAAATGCGTTAAAATAATGACATTTGACATTTGCTAATAAATAAATAACCTATCTTTCTGAGTTCCTTATGCATTTTTGTTTTTGGTAAATGAGAAACTGATCTCCAGAATATGTCTGAAAGAGATTTCCAGTCGTCCTATATGAAGTTGGGGCTCCAGAATGAAGAATCAGCTATGAAGAAATATCAGATGGTCTGTCCCAATTATGTCCCAAAGATGGAAATGCAGAAGGAACTCAGGAAGATAGGTTATTTATTCATTAGCAAATGTCAAATTGTCAAATGTCATTATTTTACTGCAGTTGGCAACCATGGGGTCGCATCACTTAATAAGGTCAATCGTGCGTTGAAATAGTAGTTTTCAGATTACTGAATACATTTAAGTGACTACGTAGAAAAAACAACGATGTTTGTCTTGCAATAACGTGTTCTGAATTCATATATAAATCGACGTTTATTCCACCATCAGTATTCAAAATTACTGATAGTTTATGCAGCAACCAGCAGAAGCAGTGAAATTTGACAGATTTCACCGCTCGAGCAGTAATGGCTTTAATCTGAGTCTAATTTACTTCACAATCCTCCATTCAAAATTACAGTAATATTATTCAGTATATTATGTGGAACTGATTCAATTACATCTTTGAAACCACCAAGTAGTTAACAAAATAATTCCTTGAATTGCATTCTTCATCTAACATTTTTATAACCAATTGAAAATTTATATAAACCATAGCGTTTACTCGACATGAAGTCTATTTATAAATTAAAAGTTGAACATTTCGCTAAACCGTTACAAAGAATAAAACACATTCCACAATGGAATATACAGAAAATAGTTTCAAAAGTTTTGCCCGTTTGAATGTCATGTGTTTTTGTAGCTCCATATCTCAATAAATATTCATTTTACTGTGTCGTGGTATAGTTAAAGTAAACGACACTGTCACTGGTCAAAAAAGAGCCAATATATAGAAATGAACCGGCTGCAAAATAGTCCACGTGGACTGTAGAATTGGCGGTTCGTATTGGATAATTTTTACTAACCGAGTTTTATGATTGGCTGAAGAGTCATAAAATTAAATTTGAAGTCATGTTACGGTGACGAATAAAAATCGGGAATGCGGTGATGGTTATCGCCGTCGTGTTCAGTTCAGCAACTAATCGCGATTTGAGTGTTGAAATTCGATATTGGTGCAGTTATAATTACTTAAAATTTTTGTTATCTGTTTGAAATGTGGCATCCTTGGATAAGTACTAATAACAACGCATACTTTTTCCAGTGTGGTGATTCCAATAGCGATGGCGAACAATGCGAAAAAGAGATACCAGTGAATAAGATTCGGATGTATTTGAGTACTGAAACACAGAGAGTATGTTTCAATGTATATAAGAATCTATATCTCAAGTTTGGTTTTGGGGGAAACAAACTATTACAAGCAACATCAGATTTGACCGAAATTCCTTTCTCAACTGTACGTAAAATAGTCGAAAACAAACCTTATAAACGCAAGACGCGATGTGATACAGGAAAACCAAAACCTTTACGCAATGTTCGACGTTGGTCTGCCAAATCTCCTTCCAGAGATTTTAGCAATTCACACACAACATCAATGAGTAATACAATATGAATATGAGAATTCGTTCGGTAGTTTGAGTTTATGGCGTTCAGACAAACAGATGAAGCGGGGAGACTCTTTCATATTATAATGACGGTGGAATACCTTGAACTGCTTTGTATTCATCAGCAATATCATCGGGACGAGCTGGTTGTTCAAATTTGTCTATTTTCAGCGCAGGTGAATCAACTGACGTTGATTCAGGGTCTGCCCCAAGTGATTTTTGTTCAGTTGGTTCAGACTTGGGACCTGGTATTGATCCATGTTCAAATTTAGGAGTCCCCTTCGTTGCGGCGCATGCGTCTACTGCAGATTTCCTAATATAGATCACTCCATCAACCAGTGCGAAATCACTGGGTTTATCTTCTTCGTTCAGTTTTCTTTTCATGATGACTTTTTCTTTCATGGTTATACAACACCGGCTGGCAAGCTCTGGTTCCACTCTACCTTTCGACATGCATGGCTCGTCTTCCTCCAAAGTTCGATGATCGGATTGGAATGTAATTTTGTGTGGAGGCGAGTTTTGTATGCTTATGGAATTTTCATTTGAAGTCGATTTGTGTCTCTTCTGTGAGGATTGCTCTGAATTTCCTGAAAGCACCATAAGTTTGAATAACAACTGAAATATGGTGTCTACTACCTGTGCTGAAAACTCTGTTGGGCCTAATACATAGATAGCGCTAGTCTTATTGCATTAACCGCTTTTTCAGTTAGTACTAACCTTCAAAAGAAAGCTATTGAAATTTCATGATATTCTACTCATTAGTGTTTGAATTATTGTGCTAAGAGTGACAGTAATTTTGCTATTATCAAAACAATAGATCAAAAACGATTTCATATTTCAATTTAATTGCTTCTTGATGGGAAAAAATATCGTTCATCAGAAACAACAATTAAACGTTGGTTTACCGATTTCAAATGTGGTAGTAGAGACACCAATGTCATCAGTGGACATCTAAATGAGGAAGTAACACCAGAAAATAAAAAATACACAAAATCGGCAAAACTATATGAATTGAACTTCGAATTGCTTCCATATCCACCGTATTCACCAGATTTTGTTCCCAGCGACTACTGGCTGTTTACAGATCTCAAAAAAATGCTCACCGGTATGAAATTTCACTCGAATGAAGAGGTTGTTGCTAAAACTGATGCCTACGTTGAGGCAAAAGTTAAATCGTTCTGGAAATGTGATATTGAAATGTTAGAGCAACGCTTGAATGACCGATGTGGCTCTTGATGAAGATTACGTTGATGAATCAAGCTAATTTTGCACAAAAAACACGTTTTCTTTCTTAGGCACGGGATTTTTTAGCCCATGTGTTAGAATTCACCGCTCATACCAACTACAATAGGTTTAATGATAGATTTTCAAATACTGTTTTATAATGTTGGGAAACATATCATAAAAAGTACACTTCAATTTATGAGTTTCAAATTCGAACCAAAACACTTCAAAGTGCCAAAGCGTCGCTTGTGACGTCACGTTCGTGTAAACTGCATGTAAGCACTAGAAGCTCTTCCGTAAACTATTATTTGGTGTGAATTCCTTCGATGTATTAATAAATCAATAAAAACTCCGAACGAGTTATTTGTGTTCGTCCGTACAAAAAAGCAACGCGAAATAAGTGGCTTAAACTCGCAAGGCGGATTCAACGGGAATATAACCCAGTATTCATTTTCGTGAAGATCACTTTGAAGTGTATGCGTAAAGTTTTAGATTACAAACCAGTATTAGCTCGGCCGAGAAATAAATTCGAAATTGAACTTTTTGAGGTTAGGTTTCATTTTTCCTATCTTTCACCTTGTTATGTTATCTTTTAGTGTACACAGTTTTCTTTCGCGTTTTAACATCGCCATTAGATGCCCTGGAGGACCTGATATTAATAAATCAATGTGTGTGTGTGGTTAGTATGTAGTTTTAGAAATATCATTTCAATAACATTACCTCCAATGTTAAACTACAATTATCTTTCAAAAGCTTTGGACTTATTTTTATTATTTGTTTTCGAAAGATTATTATCGTACTTACATGAAACTTTCAACATTTCTGAAGACAAAAGTCTTTGTTTGACGCCAGAAACTCTCCCAGCATCAACAAGTAAATTCTGAGAACATAACCACCCTTTGCCTTTGTAAATCCTGGTTCCATGGCATACGTTATTTCACTTTTGATTTATCAAACAAAAGAAAGCAGTCACTATCACGATATTAAGTCGTCAAGAAAACCAGATATTACATTAATGATTTTTACTTAATTTCATTATACCTATTTTAAGGAAGACAGTCAATGCAAGGCAAAAAATTATACTGAGAACTTGGAAGCAGTGAGCTTTTGCAATTGGATTTGCTCATGTTTACTTACATAACCACAATTATTGTTCATTTGATATTTTACTATACCTACTACTATAAACGAATATAAACAAAAATATTCCACACTTTCTTAGGCTAGTTCTTAGTAGGTACTTAGTCTTGGTCGAGTTTCCATAAATGCTTTTATTAATTTGTCATAGTTGAACTCTTAGTTCTTAATCTTAGTCTCAGGGGGTGTGTTGCACAAACCCGTTAGAAAAAATAGTTCAGAGCTCATGTTAGAGCAAATAATAATAAAAACAGATAAAAAGAAGAAGAAGAAAAAACTTTCAGTATAAAGATGAAAAGGGGGAGTATCAGCCAAGGCTGCCTTATAACTTAGCAGTAATCAAATAAAACAAAAAAAGTCGAGTGGATAGTGAAACTTTGATGACAAGATCAGAAAATTAGTAGATGCAACCGCTGTAGAGAATTCCTTTTTGTTTTGCCAAGGTCGGGACGGGCAAAAGAGCAGACAGTTAAGTAAGTCTCAAGTCTATTTTTTCAATTGAATGAGATTGAAACTCACAGGGTAGTTGATTATAATGTTTGGGTGCATTACACAGGAAACAGCATGTGAAGATGGAAGATTTGTAGTGAAACTAATAATTGTTGACAATATTCTAAGCTTCTGGTCCAAAATTGTGAGCGAGAATTCATGAGAGGTGTATGCGGCGTGAGATCATTCAGTCTGATCATAGGATGGGTCATATAGAATCGGATACAGGGTGTGATCATGGAGTTATAAGATAGCAGCATACCGAAAGGGCATTAGGCCGTATCTTAGTTAGCAAATCAGATCGCTGTGTGCAACACGTGAAATGAAAGGAATGCAGAATTTATCGACAGAGAAAAAACAAAGAGGGCGCAACATGTCAGAAGAGCACTAAACCGCATCTTCATTAATAATAGTCGGATCGTAACGTGCAGCACGTCATATGAAACGGAGAGGAAAAAACAGATTATGCTAGAAGGGCACTAAGTTGTATCTTCGCTAATAATAGTCACATCATCAAGTACAGAACATCCAATGAAGGGAAAAGGAATGCAAAATTTATTGATAAAGAAAAACAGAGATGACGCAATACGTCAGAAGAGCACTAAGCCGCATCTTCGTTAATAATAGTTGGATCGTTACGTGTAGCACATCAAATGAAAGGAGGGAGGTGTAGACTTCATTAAAGAAAAAAAAACGAAAAGGTAGCCAAAAGGGCACTAAGCTTTGAATCACTATTTCGAATGTCTCATGAAATAAGTATGTGAACATGGCTTATCAAACTAATGATAATTTGAAGATGCATATGACGAAATTGGAGTTTGGGGTCAGATGAAGCAGGCATTAATAAATTATCGTTTGGATCGTGTTCGAAATTTTACATATGTCACAGTGGAAAAACATTCGAAGTTCACGTAAAAACGCAGAAACATTTCAGAATGTATGGAAATAAGTATGGAAATCAATACGTGCAAAAGCTCCCAAGATATCACAGATTGATTTGAATAACTCGCCTCTGCTTACTAGATAATAATCACACTTACTATGTGATATTATGTAATAATCATTAATTTACTGACCTGATTCCACAAGCATCCAATGAATTGAGGATGATATCCTGTCTTTCCTAGTAGGTGATGTTAAAACTCAGATTTCTGTGGCACCTATCGAAGAAATTAAAAAAGTAAAGCAGCTTGCGATAAAACTGCAAAATGGCTAGTTTTCAATTCTAAAGACGGAGCCAGAACCAAGTCTCCTAAACATCAACTGTCCTAAAAATTCTTACCTTTTATTTTTGATAGACAAATTCATTAAATATAACAAGTTTCTGATGAACAGAACATTTTTATTATTGATATTTTTTTCAGATTGTGGAAGGTGGATACTCCCAGAAAAAGGGAGATTAAAAATACACTCGTGTAAACGGAGTAATTACTTGGATAAAGTATTTTTACATACAAAAATTTTAGTGAGTGTGTATATACCTGGAGAGCTCAAATGGATGTCTTCTGATTTGTTAGTTCTTTCGTAGGAAGTGTTATCTTCTGTTGAATATTTATGTTCATTGGTCGCTTCATCTTCACTCACTAAAAATCTGGAGGAACAACCTACGAAATCTTGTGACGGGCATATCACTTTCACGGGGTGGTAGTCCAATTTCGTTTTTTTTTTGTCTACCATGGATTTTGTTTGTTTTTTTGAACAACTGGTGAATTAGATGGACGGTATGATGCAGGGAAATGAGATGCAAAGATGACACTGACAACTGGCTGTGGCTATTCCGGAGTTAGTACAGTCAAACAAGGAAAAGCTACAGAAAACACGATCAGGGTATTTACTCCGATAAATTCCAGTATTTAGGGTAACCATGATTAGCAATAGTCCGCACTTTGTGGTATTAATAACGTTCCCATATTTATAACGTTACTTTGAACCTTTGAATGGCTATATTGATAACATTTTCGAAAACAATGATCAAGAAATGATAGATTCCATAGAATTAAATACACCACGTGGGCCATAGAGTCTTTCAATAGGGACTTCCGAACTTTGACGATCGACCAACACCTGTACGTCGGCGAAATGCAAGATCTGCCGAAAACATCGCCGCTGTCTGTGAGAGTGTGCAGGATAATCTGAGGCAGTCTCTAAAACTTATATAATGACGGTTGAACGAAAATCAGATTTTAAATGAGATTATGAATTCCCAAGGACAAAGCAGCTCTGATGCAATATTTTCGTTTTTGCAGTAAACCTACGGCAATGTTGGTTCAGAACAGGCAACCGCAGCGGTGTTCTGTTTTTCATCAAAAGCTTTTGACTGTGTTAATCACAGAATACTGCTGAGAAAGCTCCACCACTGTGGAATAAGTGACAATGTTGAGGATCGCAAACAATATTTGAAGGCCTGCAATTCAATTTCTAGCACACTGGATGTAAGGACAGGAGTACCCCGACGTTATATTTTGGGGCCACTTCAATATATTTAATATATATGAATGACCTCATCAGTGTAAACATCACCTCATTCACGTTGTTTGCAGGCAATACTACATCATTATGGTATAACAATAACGAGAAAGATCTCCACATACATATTTCCCATGACCTTATGCAAATAAAAGAATGGTTTGATGCAAATCTTTCAATTATGAAAAAAACAAACATTTCAACTTTTAAATGCACGTTAGTTCAAGTGATGCAGGGAAATGACGCTATTTATAGTAATATCACTACCGAATTCTTAGGTATAGACATAGATCAAGACTTGAAATTTGAAGAACACGTACGAATACTCAACAAGAGATTATCATTAGATTGCTTTGCACTAAGAATAATGTTACACAAGTTGAGATTTCATGCGCCTGAAAATGATTATTATGCCATGATTGATGCACTCTTAATGTATGGAACAGCTTTCTGGAGCTTGTGCTGCAAACAGCTTTTAAGTTTCACAAAAATGAGCTGTAAAATATATGTATGGAGCAAAAACTTTTAGACCTCTTCTCAAAAGGAACAATATTTCAACTGTATTTATCTTCAAGACTTCCTCTCCTATCACGTTCAAGTCATTTTACAAGATAAATTACCACCACCGCCCAACCCATCAACATGGGTGGGCCGTGGTTACGACAAACACTCAAAAGACTACCTTATCTTACGTTCAGTAAAAGAACAGTTATATCTACACTGAGAGTCAAAACAAAACTGTAGAGATTTATTTTAATAATTTTCAAATTGATACAAACTAATTTTGATTACTCTTTATTGGTATAAAAGAACGTTTCATAACAATTCAACAATCACCAAAATCAAAAAATGTACACGAGAGATTTAATCAATTTATGACCTTTTTGTTCTCGAAATTATTTCTCCAACACTGAATTCTTTGGAAGATCTGAAAATAAAACGGAAAGTTATAAATTCAGCTATTTCCTTCTTGATTGGACTTCAATTCACAACATATTCGAGGTGAAAAGCAAAAATTTCAATACAACTTCAAAAAGTATTCTTTAAGAGTTAATTTTTTATGGAGGAGTGAATGCTTCTCATTGGTGGTTACCAAGGGTGAATTGATGAAGAATCTGCTGAATGGCAATAAAGGGCAAACTGAAAAGTTATCTTTTTTTAAGAACAAAACACAAGCACTACAGGTGTGAGTTATGCGAGTGATGACCATATCTTTTCTGTAACTTATATTGGAAATATTTCAAAACGATATTTTTCTCTGACGGATATCCCGAAAGAGAGTAATATCATTTTCATAACAGGAGACAAACAGAAAAGCATTCAAAATTAATTTCTATTATTGTTATTTCAATAAATTTCGAAAATAGTTTAAAAATTGGATGGGTAAAAAAATTAAAATGACATCTGACAGTATGAATTCAACTCAGAACTCTGGTTTACAAGTGTTCTACCAAATACTCCACAAAGGATCTAATATCGATGAATATTCTGTTCTGAAACCAGTACGCACCTGACAGACATTGTAGCAGATGAACTATTTTCCATTTCGTCCCTCATTTCAACAGCAGACCTTGGTCCAATCTCGTAATCGTCTAAAGACATCTCCGTCTTCATAAAATTTCTTCCAGCTATTGTTCCGCTATCTAATGACCCGTTGATGCAATAACTGAACGATTTGACAACGTTATTTTTGTCCGAAGAAATCGTGTAGTTTCTGAATTCGTAACTGTCATCTTTGACGGATTCGCTGTTGGACAAGTAATAAAAGTCGAGGTTTTGTAAAGGTTTACCTAAAAAAACAGGAAAGAATCTTAAGCTCTGACTACTCTATATAATTCTTAATAACCAAATTGCCAATAGGTAGAATTAAGTCAGTGTGAACACGCCTGAGGAAACTATTATGGATTTTAATCAAGTATCAGTCAATTGCATGACATAAAACTACATTTTTTCGAAATCGAGAATGAAGTATTTTTGCAATAAGCGTATATCTTTGATGAGAAACTGAGAATTCATCGAAATACTAAAAAATGGGATTTCTACTTGAAAAAGTAACACGTGTTTGAATTGGGCCACAGTTTTTTCGAGCAATGTTTTCAGATACTTTCTTACGTATTCCATGAGTAAGAAGGCGAAATAAACCCAGATACATTCAAAAATAAAATATAACAAACAAAAACGACCATTTCAAAAAAGTATAACTTATTTTCAGACTTCAATAAAATTTTGTTAATTTTATCCAATAGTCTGGCTAACTGGACGAAATTATACAAGTTACGCCCACTAGGGACAATATAACTCACCTTCAATCGATTCCCGTTTATTGAATAAAGCGTATTTATCCGACAACAACAAATTACTCTGCTCCAATTCAGTACCAACATTGGAAAAACTGGTAGATGCGTCTACTAAAAGATGGTGGTACTTGTCGGTGGTGCTGTTGTCTCGTTCCGGTGTCAGGTCGTAGTCAGAGCTCAATAATTTCGTAAAATCGGTTTGCTTCGCGTGAAAAGAGTCGTCTCGGTTGAGGCTTATGTCTGCTGCGTAGTCGGATAAATCGAGAGATTTTTGGCTTCGATGAATGAACGACGACTCTTTTACGGACACGTCTTCGCTTTTATCTATCACAGGAGACTGGATTTTTTCAGCAATAGGCTGAAAAATGATTACTCTATGAAAAGTATCATCACCTTTTCTTACTACTCACTAGCTCCATCCGGTTGGGCGACTTCGGCGACAACGTATCATTTTTTCTCAATGCTTGTTTCAAAACATAAACTGGTGACTGTATCAAAACGTACTCCTCTTCGATCTGGTGATTTTTCAGTATTACTTCACTGCTCCCACACTTTCTATCGCACTGTATAACGTTCACTTGGGTACCTTTGTCATCTTTAGTATTTATTTGATCGTCTAACGACTCAGTAGTAATTGGTTCAGCTTGCGTATCTGCGTCCTTCATAAGAATAAGCGAATCCGTGGTTTGGATATATTTGCTCTCTGTGAATTTCAAATTCAGCTCATTCACGATATTTTGTGAGAAAATGAAGGCTGGCGAAGAGTTTTCGTTATTTCGAGTCGATATTTTCTCTATAACGTCGAATTGGTGGGCTTTTATACTTGTCTCCATCGCATCACCAAAGCTTGCATTGTTATTGTTATTGAGTTTTTCGAAAATAATTTCTTCTTCGGTAGAAACTTTTCTCTCTTTTTCCGTGAGCGATATATCTGTAATGAATCTAATTTTATTTTATTCATAGTATAGTAATATTACTGAACAATTATATGTTATCAAAACACTGAGTCTTTCTGCACTGACAGCAGACAAGCCCTATTAGCCTTGAACAGACAACGTGTTACCTCAGGGCTAGTACTAAAGTGCCACCAAGATTTAGCCAAATCCTCGGTAGATAATAACATTATCTTGGGGTGGGTTAGAGGACACGACAAAAGTGAAGGTAATCGCATTGCCGATTCTTTAACCAAGGAAGCGGCTGGACTAAGAATTTTAGGACCCAGTGGCACCTACAGCCTGATGACTTCGACAATTGCGGAACCAGCCAAATGTTACACCCATGCTCAATCCCTAAAGAGATAGGATGGACTCAAAGGATTCAATCTTGCCAGGATCACCCTGGGCGACCCTGGAAAGCTGGCGCCGAAGAAATATCTGGCGATGGTCATAAAAAATCTACACTTAACAGTAGGATTTCTGACTGGCCACTGTCAACTAAGGAAACACCTCCATAATATAGGTCTAGTGGACACACCTCTATGCAGGATGTGTGAACAGGAAGATGAAAACTGTCAGGCATGTCCTATGCGAGTGCCTGGAGTTATCGTCAATAAGAGAGTGTGTGTTTGGTAAGTTTTGGCCTACACTTGCCTATATAAAGGAGATGTATCCAACTGGAAAGGACAGGATGGACGACTACATAGGAGGACAACTCCTTGTCACATGTGGCCTAAGTGCTGTATGCTTACACTCACCCTCCCTACTCTACAGATACAGAGAAGAATGATACAATAGCTATATACAAGTGTAGTGAAACTCATAATAACATATGGTGGCTAAACATGGTGGACAAGAGTGTCACAGGAGCCATGAAAATGACCCTAAGTGCAGCTCTTGAGGTTCTGCTTGACCTTCCACCATTTCATATCTTTATTCATATAGAAGCCCTAATAGTGTCACCCAGGCTGATGCAGAAACCAATTCCGATCAGTCAGTCGCACGGGAAAAAACCTGAAACTGTAACTGGAGGCAGATCCAATACTGCGAAAGCCAGTGCTCCAAAAGTATCACACCAAGCTGAGACTGGGAAAACGACCCACCGGTTGAAACGGGGAAAACTTGGTATACAAACGGCACAGAAACCCAAGAAGGACTAGTAGCCGGCTTATATGGTAGCAGAGCAAATACGACAATCACACTTAGCCTCGGACAGAACGCAACAGTGTTTCAGGCAGAAGTTGTTGCTGAACACTACGTATTGTTTCTCCGATAGCCTCACATACCCTCTACAGTACTAAAAGTGGCGAAAAAAAAAATTCCAGAAATTATATACAATTTTGTTAGCATGTTTGAAAAATCGCCTTGAAAGTGGTACCTTGTAACACCCCACATAATGAATGTATATGATGATACTGATTGAAGAAGTGTCACTAACTACAGACTCACCATCACTTTTTCTAATATTGAAATTTTCGTCTGGCGAAACCCTTTTAACAAACTTCAAATCGTCAGAGGTATTCACCGTATTATCCAAAAACGGAGTTTCTGCATTTCCGACACTGGACAAAGTATCGTTACCCAGAGTGGAGAGCGTTGCCCGAGAAGCAAACCTCGAAGAAGGATTCAATATGGTTTCTATCGAATTCGATGGTTCTGTACATTCGGTAACCTGTAATGAACTAAGTTAGTAAGGATGTTAATGTTAACTCCTCCGTATTTTTTGTAATACAATATCAAGTTTGTTTCCACAAAAGCAAAAATTGAATTGAATTTGGTTGGGCCTATTCTTCAGGGGGGCTTTTCCTTTTGTTCCGGGGCCCCCCTTGTTTTCCTTTTTGTTTGAACCGGGGGGCGGGTTTTTGTTGCTTGCGGGGGTTCCTTTGCACCCTTACGAGTTTCAACTGTAACGCTACTCACGCAGGGTGCCTTCCCATACAAAAACGAATTGGGTGCGTGGCGGGGTTCTAGGAAAATCGCGCAGGCGCCCGTTACGTGTAGCCGCTTGCTTACAGCGTATACCCATATAGCCCATAGAACATGCTGTGACGCATGCCGGTAGCTGTTTTGATTTGTTTGAAAACAGAATACTTTTGAATTAACAACAAAGTTATTTTTCAACATTTTTGTAACCCCTTCTTTCCTCAAAAATACTTTTTACTCGTGTATGGACGGTGAAGGGCATCAAAACAATCAAGTTTCCTGGAATACCCCATAAATTTGATTTTCAACTATAGCATTACATTAAAATTTGTTTATACCGCTTGATTGGTAATCCACGATTGCCAGTATGTAAGCTGCAGTAATAATGTTCACATCGCTAGAATAAAATAATAAGACATTGTGGCGCTGTGATGTTTCGCGCGATACTCAACGATGTTTTGCTGTTATAATATGATGTTCTGCAGGACGGTAGCCGGCTAGGTTGGCATGAATAGTTTCTTTCAATTATTCAATCGACAGCTAGATGAAACGGTGGTTTGAGCCACAGGCCGGACGATCCATTTAAACTGCCCTTTTGAGACTTTTGAGAGTTGTCGTTTCTAGAGAAGCGACAGCTGGTTAACGGAAACACAGATTTCAATAGAGATGTATGTATCTAGCTTTGAACATTTTCTGGTAATTAGTGGGGCAACAGTCTTAATAACTTGTTGAAAAACCGAACAAAAATTGAAAAACATTTCATACGTGAATATATTATGTGAGGATTCATTGACTTTTGCACGGTTTTAAAGATATGAATTTTTGCCAATTACTCATTAAATGGTTATTTCAAGTGTCTAACTCTGATTAAGTGGTAAAATGTATAGTATTAGCTAGGAATTCCAAGGACTCGTACAAATAAAACCTATGAAGATTTCTTTCACCGCTCGAAGGGATCGGTCATGACAAGTGGTGTCAGGTGTGAGGTTTTTGCACATGATAGCAGGAAAGACAAAACTCTAGGTAATAACACACCCTCCCGAGACTTCTCCTGTTGATGAACGTTTCTTCGGATTCGGCAGGTTTGCAGTTATCTCTTCCGTAGCACTCCAACTCTGCGCCGAGCGACAAGTTCGCCGAAACGTCCAAAGCGTGCATAGATGAACATTCGGTACAGTTTTGAAACGGATCGATGTTCACGATTGGAAGCGGGTTCACGACTAAATTGGCGAGACTGAACTTGTTCTTTTTGGCTTCCTGGCTGTTGTAGGGGATGTTCAGCTCTGAGGCTAGATCAGCGACGTGTTCTTTCATTCTTTGCTGGAACAAACAGACAAAAAATAACCCTTGTTACTTGTCAATTATGCAAACTATGTTTCGAAGCATAAATGATGGTATTCATTATTCATGTCGAATAATCATACCAAATATTCCTTTGATAAAGAATATTCCTTTTAATCCTTTCAGTAGATTTGAATTCAACAGCAATAGCAGTGACAGGGTCTCATTTTGTTCTTTCAACCAGCTATAAAGAACTCTCAAATAAGATATAGTCTAGTAGTTGTACAATTGGGAACTTCGAATGGTAGTCGGTACGCGATAAAAACCAGATTTTTTAAAATATGAAAAACCCTCCTGTGCGTATTAATTGTGCAACTACTGATGCTTCACTGTTATCATTATTTACACGCTTTTACGCTCAAGTTGAAGGCGGCAGCCACCATCTTGTTTTCGTTAAAAAACAATTAAAGGATTTGTTTCTGCCATTTTTCAAAAACCCTCATATGAGAGGTTTCTCGACCAGTGATAGAAACAACAGAAATTCAATCAAATAACCGAAAAACATCAAAAATGAGTGTCTGAATTCACTGAACGGAAAAACAGATTTCAACAGATTTTTCAACAGATTTTAGTATTACTTACCATGTCCAGTCGGCCTTTGTTTAATTCGATGTGATTTTTAAACACTTTCTCAATATCGATATTCCGAAAATAGTTGTTGACTATTATATCCTCAGTAATCCTCAGTAAAAACTGTAAATACTCGTGCTCTTCAACTCTGAAACAAATCATATGTGTATTGAAAGTGTTAAAAAATAATATTGACCGTATTCACCTAGAAGTGGAGTAACTACTATCTGCCGTGTTTCTACCGGAATTTTTCTTTTTATTATCTTCTTTTGTGTTGTGTCCTTCCGTCTCTATTTTTTCGTCTGCTACGTTGTTGACTCTCGAATAGATTTCATCACCGCATAAACACAGTCTGTTACTTCTGTTGCTGGACGTTGTGCTTGAAGGTGTCATCTCATTGGACGGAGGCAAATTCCTACTGATTCTTTCGTTTTTGCCGTTTTTTTTCGATTTGGATTGAAGAATTTCTGATGATTTTGCTGTACTTTTTTTCTTCGGAAGCGCTACCGTAGGCTGCGATCTGGATTTGTCCTAACCTTACAAAGATCATTGATGAGAATTCCAGGAGAAATTTAAATATATTGGTATTTCAAAAAAGTTCTCACCTTAGTGTTTTTGATATATTTTCAATATTTGACGGATACATCAATTTGAATATACCCAGAATATTTTAAATTCTAACAAAGAGTATTTTGTTGAGTCGAAAAGAATGCATATTCATCGTTTGCTCTTGCTTGGGTGATAGCGCTGCACTCAGTACATCAAAGACACATAATTATACAAATGTGGGTTAGATTAGGTTAGGTCTAAAGTGAGTGGGTCTATTCGACCCTCTACCGCAACCCGCAAGGGTTTATTGTGACTCACACCTATAAACCCAGCTTCTCAACGAAGCCGATTAGTTTGTATGGTAAGTGGTCTTTTAGGTCTGATGGGTAAGAGTACGGCTCTGCTGAACTCTACAAACCTGATTCGGTCCCCAGCGGGACAGCCAGAAAGTATGTGCTCTGCTGTTTCATCATTTTCCAAACAGAGGTGACATACACTGTCTTCTGACAGTCCCAGTCTCTGCATATGATGATTCAAATGACAGTGACCTGTAAGAAGGCCTAGAACCAACACTTGGACAGGATAAAGAGGAAAGCGGAGGTAGCACTGATGCGCGCCAGACGCACCTATGGAAAAACATGGGGGCTAAAACCAGACATGGTATACTGGCTATACACAATGGTGGTTAAACCCATGATAATATACGTATCTCTGGTCTGGTGGCCAAAGATGAAGCAGGCGACCGCCATCAACAAACTAGGCAAGGTGCAAAGACTTGCATGTTTGAGAATGACGGGAGCAATGAGAACTACCCCAACAGCTGCATTGGAGACTCTCCTGAGTCTACCTCCTTTACACTTTGTGATAATGGGGGAGGCTAGGATGGGCCAATTCAGACTGGAAAACTCACCGAACTACAAAAGATCGGACCGAACTGAAATTTCGGAACAAGTGGAGGAGCACATATTGAATATGTGCACGGACCACATGCCACCGAAGTACACCTTTAACACAACCTTCACGGCCAAAATCATAAGCCGCGAAGAGTGGAAGACCATTAGTCATCTCGAAAACATGTTTGGAAAAAACACCTGGTATACAGATGGATTGAAGACCAAACATGGAACGGGAGCTGGAATATACCGAGCGGATAGAAATTGCAGTGTGCAAGGCTTATTAAATTGAGACCTCAAAGAAATGAGCGGACCAATTTTTTACAGACAGCAAGACCGCACTAGGGGCTCTGACAAACCCGAAGGTGACATCAAAACTGGTCTGGGAATGCCATGAAGAACTGAATGAACTTGCAAACAGGAACAAATTACCTTTGTACTGGATGCCAGAGCATTCAGAAATCAAAGGTAATGATAAAGCTGATTAATGCGCTAGACGCGGATCATCAACTTCATATACAGGTCCTGAACCAGCTCTGGGGGAACCAAAATCATTGATACGAAACCAGATTAGGACATGAAACAAGAAGTACACAGAATACTGGACAAAAGTAACTGGCAACAAACACAGTAGAACCTTCATTAGGGAACCGTCCGAGAAAACAACTGAAGAACTACTTCAATATAGTAGGGATCGGCTCAGAATAATTACAGGGTTACTAACCGGTCATTGTCCGCTTAGAGGACACCTCAATGAAATCGGGCTGTACAACGGATACCTCAGCTGCAGATTATGCAACGAAGAGATAGAAACAGCTCTATACATCTTATGCGAATGTGAGGCACTGAATCACAGGAGTCAGGCAATATATGGACGTACGAAATTACGTCCAGAAGAATATGATGAACACCCAACACGGAACCTGTACAAACTAGTACAGGGAACGAGACTGATGGAACAGTACTTCATAAGGCAGTTCGTAGTTGACTGTTGGAGGCATAAAGTCAGAGGTCATTTCCAGAATGCTATTACTGACCAATTTATGACGTTTACTATCATTTGACATTTTTACATCGTTTATTTGATGTTCATGGATAGGATTTTTTACTGAATAAATGATTGTTGTCACAACTGGGAGCATTTCATTTTTCACAATATTCTATCGTAATTCATGGAAACGAAACGATACATTAATAACTGAACACGCATCTATTTGCGCTAATGGCTACGACAAGATGGAATTAATATTTGTTTAACTCCTCCTCACAATAGCGAAGCATATTTTTTGATAGGGTAACATTACTTTTTAGCATGCCTCATAGTTTTATTTCTTTAGGTATGTTTTGTTCGCACTAATCTTATTCAGATCTGTCATTCCCGCTAAAAGTTATTCGCTCTCTCTATTCGGTCAAAATACATCGACAAGAGTTAGCTTAAAGCGGGAATAACTCAAATAGGTGAAAACGCCATACCTTTACTTCTCATGTGAACCTACTACTTTGTAGGTATGTGTAGCAGATGGTTTCATGAACCATAAGAAATCAAACTTTCTATGTTTTCACCACTTTTATTTGTAACTATCGTTACTGCAGTTTCGTCCTATATGGACATTTTCGAACTAAAAACTGGTTTTACTTCAGATTTCTGCGCAGCATAAGTTGTTGTTTTTCCGTCGGATCGGCCTCTTGGCGTCGAGGGTGTACCTATGCCCAAAAATACCCAGACCGGAATCATCCAAACAGTTGGTTGGTTTTTTGCTACATGAATTTCGTAGGACTGGAAGTGTAGCTTATGAAAAGGCAAATAGACAAAAACCCATCGTTGGAAATGAGAAAAATTAATTTCTTATAATGGGATCAATCATAGAAAACCCTCATACGAGTCAACGTAAGATCGAGACAGACGGAGCATTTCTAGGGTTTTAAAAAAATACAAATCTCATCCGTACCGTATTCAGATGCACTAGGAATTATATGAAATAGACTTCCATCGACGAATTGAGTTTTGTCTATGGGTTCTGGATAAGTCTATTGAGGATGAACATATTTTGGATTCCATTTCATTTTCTGATTAATCTACTTTTCATAACAAAGGATTCTTATTTCCGCACTCGGGATTACCAGATTAGATGGTCTGTCAACGTGTGGGGAAGAAGAACTATTTGAAAAAGCAAATATCTGAAACACTATTTAGGTTAGGTGTAGGGAATCCCAAAATGAAAGATAATTGAATTTTATATCGTTCAGACCCAAAAAATACAGTGTGTTTTATTTGAAATAACATAGTTATCTTTGTTCGAAATTTTAAAAAAGTGACAATGATTTTTCAACATTCTGTATAATATTTAGAAACGGGTTTTATCGAAATCAATAGCCCAAAACCTCTTTTATGCTTAGTCAGAATTCGAAGGGATGATTTCTATACATTTTAATGTTATTCAATTTCCTACTGTATACCCAGCCTTTTTATAAAAAAATCAATAACTCGAGAACGGTTATAGTTTCGGTACATAATATCTTTTATGACAGCACATTAATTTCTCCTGACCTATTTAAAAGTGTAACGAAATGCAGGGTGTCCCATAAAAAACACAACTTTGATACGTCACCCTTTTTTGAGCCACCCTGTAGACTCCAACATTTTATTTCGTACCTGTAATTTTCGAGGCATTTCGTAAGGGTTCCGCCTTGTAGTAGGCCTAGGGGGCAAACTTGCAGATTTCAAAGATCCGACGCTTTCAGTCTTTGGAGATTCCAGACAAGAGTGCTTCTTCATGAAATTACTGTGATTTGGAATGTGAGAACACGTCTTGGAGTGACTGAAAGAAAATGTTTGCACGAATTATAATGCTTATAGTGACATGATTATTCTCATACCTATGATCCATGGTACACATCTTGAACGATCGTTCAGAGTTGGAGGAATTCGAACAGGATCTAGCGAAACCTTTGGGAGGAGAAAGATCGATTGTACTTTTAACATTTTTCAACTTCCTGTAATGGTTTCGCATATGGAAATAAATGTTTATGTCGTCGAAGTAGTTTACAGTCATTTCCGAGTGCTAGTATTTACAAACATTGGTCGTAAAAAATAAAAGGTTTCAAAAGGATTTGTTTGTATTTACGGATTCGGATGAGAAAAATGGCGGGTATTTTCAAATTTGCATTTATAAAGGGGGCGATCCAACACAAGACATCTTACTGCCTATTTCAATTTGTAACTTACCCATAATTTGAAAATTTACACTCACATATTAGTATTTAATTTTTCAATGTAATCGTTAGATTGATGGCACAAATTTTGATTTGCCGCAATGTGACATTCAGTCCAATATTGCCAACACAAAGTCATTTGGACGCGAAATGGGTCACAACATTTTTAAAGGTCTGTTATGTCAGCAATTATTTTGAGGATTACCAGTTTTTTCAAAAAGTTACTTTCAAGAGATTCAGTACTATAATTTGCCTGCCCTACCTGTTCAATCCGCTTGAAAATATACTTTACCATTTACGTGATATGCCATCTATTAGTCATAAACTCAACTATTCGCTTTTTCAGTTTTACGTTCTGTGTCATCAACATAACTTATGTCGGTGTTCTATGTATAGTATAAATGTCTCCAAATTTGCTGTTTGATTGAAATTATTTGTGAAAGATACATAACTTTGTATCTAGGGATAGTTTATAATATACAAAGTGCATAAAAACTCTGGCGTTTGTTTAAACAGTTTCGCTATTGCTTTGTGAAACGCGAGAAAGGAGATTCTCCTAACTTTGTACACATGTTGATAGATGAAGCATGAATCAAAATCTGTCACTCTTATTTTACTGATTTTTAATTTATGAACCATAATGTGTTTCCGAATGTGAATATCATTGAAAATGGATATCAATTTGACGTGAAGCAGTGCCACTTTTGATTGTACACAGCACGTCTGTAAATGGAAGGCCGAAACTTATAGGAACTCATTCAAATAAATATAGTATAAAAAAACTAAAAAACACGCTTTTGAAGAACATCGAACTAAAAAGTTAAAAATGTATTCCAATCAGCCGTCTATTAAATAATATGTGTTCGTACAACGCCATCTGCCCACGAATAGATAAAGCAATAATGTCGATAATTCTGTCAAATACAGATCCCGGGCATTCAAACGAGAAAGAAGAGGTACAAACATACAGAAGAAGCTAATATAAAGCGTGTAAAAATATACAGAGATTTAATAGTTTTACAAAAAGGCAACTCGTTTTCCACCATACAATGGCTTCTTCGGGCTATTTTTTTTGTTAGTAAAAACAACAAACAGAAACAACACTGTACTCAACAGTCACAAAAACAGTGTAATCATCTACCAGAAAATGGAAAAATTGGCCGAATGTTGTCAGTAAGATGACCATGAAGTCTACAAGAAAATTATATATATGCCGTTGAGCCGAATCGGTTCAATACAGTTCAAGTGCACAATTCTTGTTGAGAATCGTCAATAATAAAATATATTGGTCGAACAAGGCGATCTTCAAAAAACAGGTTTAACGAACACCTTTGCCTCAAAGAAAAAATTGAATACAGCCATCAGAACTCTTTGAGACATAGATTTTTCTTTAAAGTTTGACTCTACAAGTATATACTGAAAAGTACCATCTATATTAAAATAAAAATAAACTCTTTGAATTGTATTGAAAGAAATATTGTTTTCATTCCTAATATAGAAATAAATAGATAAAAATAAATGAAATTAATGTCAAAAGAGCCATCATAGTCGACTGATACTTCAGTGAATAAAAACATCCAACGAAATATACATTTAAATTTATGGAGCAGAGTGAGCCATGGAAATCATCAATTCCAATACCAAGCCTTCAAGCTTGATTCAAAGAAATAATCGAGTTTCGATGAAATTTACAGTTAACTAGTTTGGCGATTCAATAATTTTTCTGAAGAAAGTTTGGTTAGGTAACAGGATCAGTTTTTTCGTTAAAAAACAATTGTTTCATTGCCGACGTTTCGAATTTATTTGAATTCTTCAGGGCTTGAAAAGTAGTTTTTTCGTGTTGATACTATTACTATTTTAGAAACCATCAGACATATTAGATAAAATAAAAAAAAGACATGAAACAAAAGAATAGTACCAACACGAAGAAACTACTTTGCGAGCCCTGAAGAAGAATCTGATATACATTCTATTTATTTTAGCAAGTTATTGGATTGGGCTGAAATGGGTTTATAAGATAAACAGTTGATGTTGTATGGCAACCCTCATATATCTTCAGAAGACCTGTACAAGCAAAGGAGTAACGATGTTTACCCTTTCAAAGCGGAATTCCTAGCAGTAGAATGATTATTCGTGAGTCCAGTTACAATCACATAACAAAATAGTGAATACTGTTGTGAATGTGATGAATTTATGCCTTTTTATAATTCAGATCTCTCTAACCTACCTCATATAGACATCGTTTTATTTGAATGTCTTCTCCGATAGAAATATTTTATTCAATTTCAAAAAACACATTCAACAATGGTCAAAAAGTTCTGACTTTTTGAATCATAACGTAAAAGTTGTGAAAAATTGTGAAAAGTAAGGAAAAATTGAGGATTGAAGATGAAAATACATAAAAGCATGTGCATTAGTTATTTGTTTTAGATTTGAACTCAAGAAACAATTAACCTCTATAAGTGACATCAATAACCAGAAGTTTTTTGTGAACACTGAAGCAATTTCAGTGGAATGGACAAAAAAATGTTAAAAGACAATGCAAATGAGTTGACGAGCAGAACAAAAAAGATAAGCACAGAACAAAGTAAAAAAGATAAGCACAGAACAAAGTAAAAAAGATAAGCACAGAACAAAGTAAAAAAGATAAGCACAGAACAACGTAAACAAGAAGACTAAATTTCTGTTCACAGAAAAGTAAAAGGAAGCAGAGGTTAAAAGGACATTGCATTTCTGTCAAATCTTAGAAAAAAGAAGACTCATAAATGAAGTAACAGAAGAAAAAAGGTACATCCAAATGCTCCCAAACACTTCATCGCTAGATTAGTGTCCAGCGTTGCGTCAAAGCAATTTGAGACGTAAACCTTCAACAAGCATTTCGCAAGAGGCGGCACCAAGCACTGGAGAAAACACTATTATATACAATGTGTATCGTGAGCTCCGTGAATGGAATGAAAATATGTTAATCTGTGATTTAACTGAAGTGTCGACGCGACCTGTTCACAGAATTCTCAAAACATTGAAACTAAAGGAAGAAATCAAATTCAACTTGATGATTGATTGCACCAAATATGCTATTCGTAGGAAATTTCATTTGTTCTTTATCCGAAATGAAATCCCAACCTTAATAAAATCGCAGCCAAAATAAATTTTGATGAATCAATGGCCAAAATATCACCACGTGTTTTATTGTGCACATTAAAGCAAATGAACATTCAATTTATGAAAAGAGATAGGAAAACAACAGGAATAGTTTGAAGGCATTTTTTTGTCCGTTTATTCCGTTGTATTGTTTGAATCCAGTATATTTATTCATCGGTTTATTCCATCACTTTTTCAGTACCAATTTTTTCACCTTTTCATCATGACTCATTATTCTTATCAGATTTTTCATTATTTCCATGGATCACCCAGCACACAGAAAACCTTTCGCAATCTGTACACCGCTATATATACAATTACAACATAACCTGATCCTTTAGTCATTTCTTCCTCGAAGTGCCGGTCCTACCTTTTGGCGCGATAAACTCCAGTTCCGGTAACACCAACCCAGAAACGACTCCTTTGCCAGAAACCCTAGTAGATACTAAATGACGCGGATTTGTAATGATATTAGTACCGGTGCTCCATCCACTCGCCTGCGGCGCATGCCCGTTTTGTTGCTGCGGAGGCAGCGGACTGGATACGAAGTCACCCCACTCGTCATCGTCCTGAGTTGCTTGGCTGGCGAAACTCCAATTACGATTTGTAGAGTTTGAAGTCTTCGAAGGGACGCTATTTTGGTTCTTGGACGCGAACGAAGCAAAATTGTATGCCTGGTTGACAAACTGGTCGCTTATAATTGAAGGCGCATGCGCCGCTTGTTGCGCATGCGCTAATTGTTGCGCTTGCGCGAACGCCGCCTTGGAGTTTAGCGCGTTTCTCGGTTGATTTTTGGGGGAGGCGGTGACTGGTAGCTTCGTCTGAACCAAGCCGTGGGGGGTAATGACAGGAACGGGCTGTTTCGCTGGTTGGATGCTCCCCAAATTGAACACGGACAGCGGTAGATCTGGACTGGAAGTCCTCTCTCTTTCGTTCGCTTTCAATTTGTGAACCGGCGAAGGTTTCTTCACCGAAACGAAATCTGTCCACTCTTCGTCGTCCAGAGAGGGTTGCTTCGGCGCTACGGGAGGTTTCTTGGGTTCTTCCGTTTGCGCAGGCATGGGGCGCGAGAAAACTTCCTCGAATTTCTTTATCTCGTCCTCGGTTATTCCCGGATCCGGCCAGTTTATCTGAGCAGGGGTGGTTTGAGGGTAAACCGGCACTGGTTTCAATGGTTCCATTATTGGGGCAAACACCGCACTGGCAATTTGAGGTTTTGACGACTGGAAATCGGTGAACTCATCTTCCTCTTCTTGCTGTGGAAGATTCTCAGCTCGTGACGACCCAGTTGCTGTGATAACTTCTTGATCATTTTGAGATCCCAAACTACTTAAATCTATAAAACCAGCTTCTGCGCTGCTAGACCCCACACCTGACACCAAGTTTGAAACGTCCTCGGTCTTGACACCTGCATTGAAGCCCGAAACGAAATCGAACTTCAGCTTGCTTGTATCCGCTGCAAGCGACTTACTCTCAACTTCAACAACTTCCGAGCTACTAGTTTGAAAATCAGCAAACTCTGGCGAGTTTTCTTCGTCCACAACCGAAGCCTTTCTCGGCAATTCGGGGGTAACGATGGTGGGTTGCAGCCAGGCTTCGATCGATTCGGGCGTCGTGTTGGATATGTAGGTTTCTCTAAGGGGTAAGCTGTTCGTCCAGTCCTGAGTTTGCTGAATCTCCGAACTCTGATACGAGGTGAACTCATCGAAGTCATCGGCATCTTCGGGTTTGTTATCGGAGACGGTTTCAGAAGTGGGATTGGGGTGATCGAACAGAATCTCTGAAGTTTTGGCTGGTATTTCCAGGGTTTTGGTTGGATCACAAAGGTTCGTGGTGGTGGCGTCTTTAGGTAGAGCTAAAGAGATAATAAAATTCATTAGTAGTGAAAATGAAGGAAAAATGCAAATGTAAAAAAAATATGGAAACACTTCAGAAGCAGTGCAGTAACAGCGAATGAAATGAAGAAAGCGTGAGGAAAATTGAAAAATGGCAGTGAAACAATATACAGTGCTTTTCAGATAAAAGTATCCACCTTTAATAACTTTTGTAATACTGGTATTTAGGAAAAATCCAAAAACACGTCAATTTATGTTGGAAGGGGCAAGCATTATGGCTTATTTGAACTTACTGGAAAAGCCACCCCCTCACGCCTAGCATCATCCCTTTTTTTTTTTTTAAAAAAAAGGGATGATGCTAGGGGTGAGGGGGTGGCTTTTCCAGTAAGTTTAAATAAGCCATAATGCTTGCCCCTTCCAACATAAATTGACGTGTTTTTGGATTTTTCCTAAATACCACTATTACAAAAGTTATTGAAGGTGGATACTTTTATCTGAAAAGCACTGTATAACCCTGATTATGAAAGAGAAGAATGGAAAAATGAAGTTATAGGAGACAGAAAAATAATGGAGTGATGGAAAGAGTATTTTAAAGATGTAAAGACAAAGTAGAGAAAGAAAAACTTGAAAAAGCTCAGAATTGGAGAAAAATAACAAGAAAAAACCAACAGCTAAATAAAAAAGCAAAGAAAAAAAGTAATAGCATGGGAAGAAATACACAATGAAGTAATGACGATTTTATTTTCAGGATTATAAGATTCAATTTTGTTCTGACATATTTATAGATAGTAGTATTGGCTGTTCAATGTCTTGATCTGAGGGTTTCTTGTAAATGCTTGAATTATGACCCGAAGACAAGATTTATTATTTATGTAAATCCATAACTGATATCACTGCGAAGTCAGAATCAGTTTCAGATATATTCCCTCTCGTGAAACAAGTATTTTTATAATTATGTATTACTCCGAGACAAATATACTCACATTTCAACCACAGTTCCCAATCATCCTGCTCGATGTTGGTAGGTATCACTTTCTTGGGATGGGTGGTATTGATACAATTAGGGATGTCTAGGGATGCTACCAACTGCTCTAAATCTAACAGAGTGGTTTGGGTGCCTTTTGACAAACACATGGGCCAAATTAACGAATTACAAGGTGTAAGGAAATTATCGGTCATTAGGTCAATAGGTTTCGCAAGGGATTGATGGAGATACATAGGAGGGAATCCGTAGCAAGCATGAAAAATATTCATCGAGAATATTAGGGATCAGAAATGTACTACAGCTATAATTTTGTACTAAGATGTAAGACAGGTAGTCAGTTGATGAATACTCACAATCCAGAGGATTCACGAGACCGGACCCCATCCAATCAAATTGGGCACTGGGAATGTCGACATTCTGAGGTTGAGGGATGGATGGACTTGGCTTGAGAATTGAAGAGGTAGGCTGTTCTGTTCTGATGGGTTCCAGCGGTTGCAGTCCCAAGTTAGCAGCGAATCTAGGCATTGAAGGGTTCCAAGATGGACCATACAACTAAAAATCATAGATAGATAAGTAGATAGATGATTTCATTTATTCACAAAAAGTATTCAAAGCTTTAATAACATCTAATTTGACCCTACTCAAACTGAACGTTTTATCTTCTTGTTTGTTCTTTTATGCAGTTACAACGCCTTAGTGCAGGTATTTGTCCTCTTCTTTCCTAACCTAAAGACATCCGGATGAAAGGAGAGGACAAATACCTGCACTAAGGCGTTCTAACTGTATAAAAGAAGAAACAAGAAGATAAAACGTTCAGTTTGACTGTTTTCTGAGTTTGATGTTTTCTGGTGGGGGAAAGCTATGTTTGTTTTGTAAGGAGGGGACAAATACCTGCACTAAGGCGTTCTAACCGTATGAAAGAACAAACAAGAAGATAAAACGTTCAGTTCGACTGTTTTATGAGTTTGATGTTTTCTGGTGGGGAAAAGCTATGTTTGTTTTGTATGGAGGGGACAAATACCTGCACTAAGGCGTTCTAACCGTATGAAAGAACAAACAAGAAGATAAAACGTTCAGTTTGAGTAGAGCCATGAAGATAATAGCACAGCCTGCTATCGAATATAATTAGAAGTTATTGAAGCTTCAAATCCTTTTTGTGAACAAATATTAATATTAAAATTTTGAGTTGGGAAGCCTTTGGATAGTTTAAGTTATTTTATGAACTGAAACACTGTGCAATACTAATACTTACAATGTTCCTGGCATCAATGTTGAGAGATTTCAGAAGCGCCTTCTGTCCTGAAGATTTCGACCACTGATACTTCAGAGCAGGGGTGTCTGTCACGTCCTGCAACTGCTTAAAAATAAAATCGTTCTCAACCAGTTCAAAATAGCTGAAGTCTTCCACGACATCCCCGATAGCTGGAAACATTTCTTTGACGGCTTGCTCAGCCTTGGCGAATGCTTCTCTTTCATCCAGTAATGAAATAATTGAGTTGGAGGATTGTGAGAAGTCGGCGAAGCTCTGAAATTCATCTTCTTCGGTTTGGAAGACTGTAGAGGGTTCGTTATCACATACGGTCGAAGTGAAGTCGCCAAAGTCTTCGAAATCGTCCTGTTTGTCATCCTGGGATGTTGTAATTTTATGACTAGGTTCCGGAAAAGCTTGATGCGAGGTGAAATCTGCGAAGTCGTCGTCGCTATCGATGTGGGGTTCTTGTGGTCGACTCTCCTGAACAGGTTTTTGACTAGGGGAACTTTCTGCAAGTGATGTAGTGTTGCGAACGAAAAAGTCAGATAATTTTTCGTTTAATTCTCCGATTTGGGGTGTATCACAAGTTTCAAGTGTTGAAACAGGATTTTGCTCGAGGTTTTCGAGTCCGCTAGAAAAATCGCTAAACTCACCAAATTCTTCTTCTGTTGAATCAGTTTCGAATTTCCGATTTGTTTCCTGGCTCTTTTCACAGCCAGTATCAAAACAACTTTGGTTTTCTAATTTACTGTCATTATTGAAACCTTGAGGTTCAAACGATGTTTGGGGGAAAATATTTTTTATACTGCTGTCTTCAACAACCCCATTTTGGGTTGAGTTACCACCTGAATTGTTTCTATCCGAAACTGAACTGGGAACCGATGCAGTAAAAATGTCCTCAACTTCTATATCTGTTGAATCATTCACTACTATATTTCCTTCTCCCGGGTCATCGTCTTGATTAAACACGGACTTTTTCACCTTTTCTGGATATTCCGTATCGTTTTTACTTGTGTCCGGATCCAAACTATTCGTGCTATTTATTTGGTCCGAACAATTTGAAAATACTTTTCCAGAATCGAGTGGGTCCACGACATCCTCAGTTTTCAACCGTTCACTGATTCGGAGAATCGTAATATCGTCCGCAAATGTGAATTCAGGGTTACCCGAAGGATCGTCATTGTTGTTGAGTTTAAAATGACCGTTTTCCGCCGAATCAAGACTATTACAAAAAGAAAGTTTTTCGTCACAATTGGAAAAACTCAGACTATCAAAGTCGATAACTTTCACGTCATTTTCACTAATTTTATCACCGAGCAGCTTATTATCGTTATTTGAGGTCTTATTTTGATTTGAGCAATCACAGTTGGATAATACATCGTTTTCCTGGTCACTTTTCTCGCGTTTTTCCTTATCTGCACTTTCGTTTGGGATTCTGAAAGGGGAACCTTGGTCTGGCGAAAGGTCTGGAGATGGTAACGGTGAGAAACCTGAAAAGAAGATGTTGAATAAATTCATTTCTGGCGGGGTTTTTTTCTTACTATCACAGCCGTAAGATAGATCGTTGGCTACTGTGAAATCTCCGAATTCATCATCTTCGTCTTCCTCTGGAGACGGGGACGGTGGCGGAGAATTACTCAAGAGTGGAGGTATTATGTTAGACATCTGTGGGTAATAATAATGATCTTTTATTTCTACGAAGACAAAAAAATTGTACAGGAATGGTCATTACAAAAAATAAAAACGATAGATAAAAACATACCACCTCTGAATTTAATTATTTATTTATTTATCGGTCAAGTACACTAGCGAATTGTTCTAAAATCCCAAATGGTACATCAAGAAAGTTTCAACTGTAGAAACCAGTCAAGCAATAGAGTTCAGTTATGAACCCAACAAGTGAGATCCTCGAGATAAACTATTGTAATTGCTTAAAAATAATTAAACTTATTTATTTTTATCAGTCCAGTGCACCACAAACTATTAATAAAATTTCAAATGGAACATAAAAAAGAAAAAATATTAAAAAGACAAGCATAAAGACATTCAACACTAATGATCAATTGAATTATAAAACAAAACGTAACTATGTCAAGTACATTACACAATGGGGAATGTTCCTCCTGACGAAAATCAAGTAGTTTTCATAAAAGAGCTCTTGAACAACGCATTTTAAACTTATCATTTCAACCTTTTTCTTTGAAAAATTATTTAAATACTTAAAAAAGAGGAATGAAATAATGCATTCAACATTTAAAGGGATTCGTTTCTATTTCACCATTTGGCAACATCGGTTATAGCTAATAAAGGACAATGAATCTGTTACCTGTATGAGACAAACAAAGATGACATATTTCAGAGGCGCGCTGTTCTGTTTACTTATGTTCCGAGTCCCGAGACATTCTATGACATATGACATTTTCTGCACCTAACCTATCTTCCTCTATATAAATGAATAACAAAACAACTGTTGTGTATGTGGCTTGTGGAGTTGATATTGAACTACAATTTATATTTTGCCTTAATTTGCCTTTTTTAAAGTAGATAATCTAGGTATGTATAAAATATTTCAACTTAATATAGGCGCTGTTGCCAATATGTGACTTAGAAACAAATCCCTTTAAAAATTAAAACCCAACATTTGAAACATCAATACTTTTTGAAGTGAATTTGAAAATTTCATGAATTAAACTCAACTTTATTTTGTTCAAACTTGCATTTGCTGTAATAAGCCAAAATGAGAAACATTCCCCATTGTAACAAAGTCCCAAATGTTATATCAATGTGCAAACAAACCCTAGAGTCAAGTTATTACTTCATAAATAAAGGTATGCATTTCATTTGTCAAGTAGTACATTATATAATTGTAATAAAATCCAATGTCGTATTTAATATCAAACTTCCCATACCAAACTGAACATTAATCAAGGATTCCATTTTTATAATGCTGGAAAATTATTCAATTACTTACGAGTAGACATAAGGTCTGCAAATCTAACCAACGTACAATTCAAGAAAGCAGCTAGAAATTTGGTAGCTGTAGACCCTATTATAGCTTACAAGAGTATTTTAATTAATCATTTAAAAAAAACATGTATACCATTTTACTTTTATTGTACATGTTTTATTCAAACTGTTGTAAATTACCAGTTTTTATCTATACACCATTAGTTATGTTTATATTTATACTTACAAATCTTTATCAATGGGATGCAAAATCTTCTGACAGTAAAGTATATTTTGATTTGATTTGATATCAAAGGCATATTATTTAGTAAAAAAATATTTCGCTGATAGACTTTCGAGTTGTCTGCCAAACACACTGGAAGTAGGTCTAGGAATCTCAATATCATTGTTTTTTTTTCAGTGAAGCAATATAATTACTTTTAGGTGGATTTATTAAATAAATGTAGATACAATTATAAATAAAATAGAATAAAATGAGAAGTGAAATAACAATGTACCCCTTTATAGAATAAGCTAGATGGAAAATAACTATCAACCTAGCAGCTGAGCTGAAAACAAGTAGGTTTGTAGGTTTTTTTTTAATCAAATTTTTCGAATTTCGAAAGAAAATGATTGATAATGAGGGGGTTTTCACACACAAGACTGTCAAACCTCCGAATAACTGTGACATACAGACACATGCCCAGAGAAATTTATGGAATAAGATATACCTAAAAGTTGAGCAACTTTTAGCTCACTGCATATTTCTTATCCATAAGCGTTCTCCCCAAAAGTGTATATTCAACTTTCTTATCTCTCTTTATTTAATTTTCCCTTTTATTAGGAACCCGACTTATGTTTTTATTATTTATGTTTGAAAACGTTTGGTAACTTAATTTTGCTTTCTTTCAAATCTATTAAAACTTTTAAGTTTTTTGTAATTTACTTGTATATGGTGATCACCTGTATAGTGCATACATGAACCCTCATTCCCTTACCTATATTCTTAAAACGACAGAAACAGATATTATGGTTATCTACATGAAATAAGGGATACAAGTCTTTATATTTTCTTTCTCTCAGATTCACATTTAAGACAAACAGAATAGGGGCCAGAACGGACCCTTGTGACACACTGAAAATCTATAAGAATTTATTCTACAGATATCGTTCTTTAAGGCAAGCAGTAGAAATAAATATTGATTCCAATTTCGAAAACTGATAGCCAGCATTAATTGCCGATTCAAAAGATTATTGTCAAAGCGACCTTGAGGTGTTGGTATTTTAAACATTACCTACGATCATTGTTTCAAATGACAAAACATATACTCACCTGTTTAATAGTTATGAGTTGGAACAGACATAAAATTAACTACATATGTATGGTTCCTACGTAGACTTTTCGGTTGAAACTTCAAAGGTTACTGAGGAATGGTTAGACGATGGCTGCTGATTCGACGGTTTTAATATTGTTTCCACTTTTTATTGAATATAATTTGCATTTTAAAATTGGAATTGGACAAAAACAAGACAGGTGGCCATATTGATTTGACAATTCTTGACAGTCTTGACGTTTACTTGTTGTCCTGTCAGAATTTGGCCAATGTCATAGCATGTCGTGTGTCAGCAATCAGCAGGTGTTGCGCCCAGGGCTTCTATAAATGGGGGGTTACACAATGTTAAATATTTCGGACGCCATATTAATGATGTCATTGGAGAAAAATAGCACTTAATTTAAACTCATACAGTATACATTTAAAATCCTGCAGGAATTTGAAATACTGGTAGATGAACTAGGTTGGCGGCAAAAGTTGAAAGTAATTGAAAAAACACATCAAAACTTCGTCAATAATTCTATCAAGATTGCAACGTGATTGTCTTTTTCTAAACATGATAGCAATATCAAACATATTACAAGGTTTTATAAGAGAACTGATTTAATCACATACGAAAGTCTTTTTTGTGTATGTAATAAAAATTTGTATCTTGGGAAACTCCCAATGAGAGGAAGAAAGTAACTACAATTACAATATATAATAGCTGAATAATTTAAAAAATGTATAAAAATAAAAACACATTCAAAATAATTCTAATAAAAATTTGAATATGACAAATCATCGGAATATGTTAAATTGACTCTGAATAATGCATTTTCTCAGTTTTTTTCATGTCTATCAGTTCTTGGCTGGTCTCTGATCCATTTAATTATTTTGTTTTCCATCTTAAAAGTGAGCCGTGATAATTTACCTAGTTCAAAATTGTTCACTAATGTCAAACTTGACCTGACAATTTTCGTTTCAAAATAGTTTTAATTTAGTTCGGAAAATAACGACTGCAGAGGTCTGTTACCAAATAAATAGAAAATAAATTTTCATATACAATTTTCATGGATTAGTGAAAGAACAAGGATGTGAATGCGGGTAAGAAGTTTCCCGCAATTTTGTTTGAAGATGGAGAAGTATAATGCCAAAACGTCCTTTTCCCAAAACCATCATTTCAGCCTCGCGTGTCAAGATTTTCTACCTTTCCTAGATTCCGTCCCTTGCAAATACTAAACCGGCGTTTCCCAGGCATTCCAATTCTACCTATCAGAATAGAGGATGTTTTTAGCATAGTCACTTTTTCGGTAAGAGGTTTCCAGCAATTTTGTTTGTAGATGGAGAAGTAGAAAGCCAAAACGTTTCCCCCCCAAAACCATCAATTCTGCCTCAGCGTGTCGAGCCCACAATTCACAAGAAGGATATTCCGCTCAGACCGATTATTAGCTCCAGAGATTAAGCCACTCAGAACTTGTTCAGATTTTTACTACCAATAATTAAACCATTGCAAGGTGATATATCATCTTTTGTGAAAAATTCAAGGCATTTCGTTAAACTACTAGGGGAAATCGAAGTCAAAGAACGGGATCAACTGATCAATTTCGGCGTGGAAACCTCTACACCAACATCCTTGTCGAAGAAGTACTTCAAATCATACAGAGGGAGCTTTCCGAAGATGGGAACCTGAAAGATAGAACAAACTTACAGATACAAGTAACCATGGAATTACTAGGATGCTGTGTACGAAACTACTACTTCCAACTGAAGGACGAATTCTTTACGCAAGATGAGGGAATGCCAATGGTATCGCCACTTCCACCGGTTATAGCCAATATATATGGAGTGGTTTGAAACTCTGGCCATTGAAGAAGCCCACAAGAAGCCCCGAATCTGGTGGACGACACCTTCATATATGAAACTAAGGGAATGCAGAACTAGACACCTTCCTGAAACACATCAACAACGTAAGTCCTTCCATCACTTTCACAATGGAGAAGGAAGTCCACAACGAATTGCCATTCTTAGATGTATTGGTGAAGAGGACCGACACGAAATGGGAAACATCTGTGTATCGAAAACTCACTCACACAGGACGGTATCTGAATCAGGAATCCAACCACCATCAATCGACTAAGAGAGGAATCATCAAGACTCTACTAGACCGTGCTTTCGGGCTCTGTAATACAAAGGAAGGTCTCGAAAAGGAACTAAGCATCATCAAAAATGACCGCCAACGAAATGGTCACTCCAAAGTGATGATAGAACAGGTTTTAGCTAGAAGACAGCGAGAGCTCCACAAGGAAGAGAAGCCGCCACAACCAGTACTTGTACTTCCCTACATCAGAGGATTATCGGAAAGGATAAGAAGGATTTGTTCCAAGTATAACATCAGAACCTGCTTCAGATCTAGGAACACTATCCGTAGCAGCCTCACAAAAACCAGGCCACCAAAGAAGGACTGCCATTCCAAGAATTGCATTAACCGGATACCCTGCGAGTGCGGAGAATCATACATCGGTGAAACTAAGAGGCCTTTGAATATTCGCATTGCCGAGCACAAGAAACACAAACAGCGAGGAGACACCAGCAAATCAGGAATAGCAGAGCAAGTTTGGACTTCCACAAGGAAGAACACTGGTTTAGGAAAACATTCAAAGGAGCCGCATATATGTTGTCCAACAACGCATTTAGCCAAGCTAGCGTAGAGATACGCAACATATGGAAACCACTAATCACGCGGAGCACGATCAAACGATCAGCTTCCGCTAAAACCGATGAAGCGGAGAGAGAGAAAAGGGTATAGGTGAAAGCACTCGAATGACCTATAGTCAGATCTCGGAGGAATAGGTCCAGTTATCGCCCGAAGACTAACTAACTATCGAAACGTCGTGAATTAACTTGGAATCTTTTTAATTTTCATTTCTTGTTAATTATTTTTTAATTTTCATCTCCTGTTAACAGTTTAACTTTCTTTTTGATTTTTTGGTTGTTGCTTGTATTTTATTTCATTGTAATTTCAGTTTCTTTGCTTGATATAATTGTTATTTTCCAGCTAATCCCTTTTTTATTTTTTTACAGATTCTTTCAGGTGTTTCAAATCAATTTATATCATATTAGACAATGGAAGTCTAGACTAATGAAATACACCAAGAAACATTGTCAACTACCTTCAAACAGAAGCTTTTCTACCTTTCCTCAGTTCCGTACCTCGCAAATGCCGCACCGGCATTTCCCTGAACCACATGGCAGAAATCGTCACAAGCGACTGCACATCCATCGCCCATTTCGTCGATGAGAGAATGTTTGTATCGTAAAACAAACCACCCGACCCCGACGCATCATGAAAATCCAATAAAAGATGATCCTCCAACCGAGCAACGTCGAGCTCACGAAAGTTCACTACTACGGCAAGAACGGCAACGACAGAAACCTCCGGATTTCCACGATTTCCCGGGAAGTGTACGAGAACAGCTACAACAGGAACGTCATCATCAAGAGGAACATCTTTGGCCAGAGGTGGGTGTTGAGGATAAACGAGAGGGACGATTTGAAGAAAACACACAAGTTGAGGATCGCCCTGTACGTTCTGGTGTTCTGCTCGATTCTTTTGGCGGTCGCTTCGGGGATTTTCTTCTCGCTGGGTGAGTTCTCTAGGTTAGGTCCAAAGTGAGTGGGTTCATGCGGCCCTTCGCTGCAACACGTGCGAATTTATTGTGCCACACATCTATTCAAACTCAACGAAATGAATCCAGACATAACGAAGCTTATTAATTTAGTGAACCATTTCGTTCATATGGCAAGAGTGAAATTCTCACAATTTTTTTGTAAAAAGGACTCATTTTGCCACCGAGTGGGTGCTATCAACTTTTTTATTTCAAATGGAAAGGTGGTGTTGTGACATTTCTGATGAAAGGTGTATCAATTCTCTATGCAATGCCTCTAATTTTTTTCAATTTCGATAACCGGTTGCGGAGTTATCGATGTTTGAATTTTGAACTTGAAATTTCGCCACCTTATGTCAAATTTTTCGACATGAATGTTTCGAAAGAGAAATGAATTCTATAGTGTTATTTTTCAGGACACAAAGGGATAGCATTATATTTCAACCTCGTTGCTAGTTACCTTTAGAGATAAAACAACCATTTGTACAAATGAACTCTTTGAAACTCCTGACAATGAAACAGTCAATTCTTGAACTCCTTTATAATATTTTGGAATGTTTTCGGAGAACAAGTTTCGGTAATTCTATCTTTTGAGTTTCCGTATTTTCCCAGGTTGTGTAACATAAACTTTCGATGTTTTGGTCGGTTTCCGGGTTTTGTCGAGGTCTTCTTTAAAGAATATTACTGCAGTTTTTTCCCAACACCAAACCGTTATTTTAACACCTCGACACGTGTTTTGATCAGCATCACTCCAGTTCTATTCATTACTGCACCAAAGGTTCCAAACAGTGCATCACAAATGATCTTCTATTTGACATCTCGAAGGCCTTCGACCGTGTATGGCACGAAGGTCTTCTGCACAAATTAATCGCGTTCGACCTGCCTCGGGGCCTGATCCGGTGGATTGGGTCTTTCCTGAAAGACAGAACATTTCAGGTTAGAGTAGAGGGCTCTCTGTCTGGCAACAGAGACATCCTCGCTATCTTCTCCGACCAGAAAAGTGAGGATATCTGGAAGGGAGATCGACTGGCAGGCGCGGGTAAAGTACCTCGTCCTTCTAATAGACCGTAGGCTCACCTGGAACCCCCACATCACAACCGTGAAGGAAAAGATCGAGGGTCGGATCAAAAGTTTGTACCCTCTGATCAACAGACGTTCTAAATTAAGCCTAAAGAATAAATTTACGATCTATATAACGATGTTCAAGCCTGTCATCATGTACGCTTCAGGCGTCTGGGGACAAGCGGTCCGTCTAATATCCCCATTCTGGAGAGATTGCAAAATAAGTTAATACTGATGATAGTGAATGCTCCGTGGTTCGTACGGAATGAAGTCATCCGCAGAGATTTGAAGCTGCCTTCCATTAAGCAGTCCATTCAGTCGAGGAATCGGTAAGTCTCTGATTGCGCAGAAACCCACGATAATCCGTTAGTTAGGGAAGCTATGGATTATGCTGTAGACGACCCCTCCCGATATAGAAGGCCCCGACACTCTGTCGAGTGGGGCCCTCATGTCCTCCGTTGAAAGATGAACAATATCTTCATCCAAACACCCCAGCCAGGTAGGGGTCCACGTGAAGGGCGCCATCCCACAAATCAGTCTTGACCCGTTTGTCTCTCTGGAGCCAGGCTTCAACCTGTTTAAGCCAAGACGACACGAACAAACAAACAAACAAGTGGTCTTCTTTGGTTACAATCTCCAAATGTTTTAACTACAACTGCGGCAGTCATCTTCAGTGGTGTGATCAAACTAAAGCTCTCATTTCTGCCATGACATTTATAGTGCTGATTTTTCGCGCACTTTCTGTAATGGCGGGTTCGCGCATACTTCCCGCGCGATTTGGTTTCGTTTTGGAGCTTTTCATTGCTGTGTGCCGGACCTCTTCCTTTCTGTTGAAGTTCTCTTGGTGTTTGTGTATTTCTATGGCTTCTAAGTACATTCTTGTTGAATAATGATTCGACATTGCTAGCCTCTCGGTATTTTCAAAAAGGATCTTGTTTTCCCTGTCCCAATCGACAACTCTGCTTGTACTCGACTAGACGGCTTCTTTTCATCTGACCGATATAAACTTCACCATAGTTACATGGAATCCTGCAAATTCCCGCTGATTTGAGTGGATCTCTGCTGTCTTTTGTTGATCTCAGATACTTAGGATGTGGAGTGTACTCCAAATCACTAAGCCTAAGGATTAAGTGGGGAATGGGAAAAAATACCAGCGTGGTCCAAACAGAACTGGCTGGTATCTCAATCGCCACAAAAGAAATAACCAGGAAAGGAATTTCTGGCAAAAACATAACAATCTGCACTGACAGCAGACAAGCCCTATTAGCCTTGAACAGACAATGTGTTACCTCAGGGCTAGTACTAAAGTACCACCAAGATTTAGCCAAAGCCTCGATGGATAATAACATCATCCTGAGGTGGGTTAAAGGGTACGACAGCACCCTCCCTCCCTACTCCGATATTTTCTTAGTTGGTTTGAAGATGGTGTTAATTCTCTCCTTCTTTAGAATTTTCCAGATTCGGTTGGTAATACCTTCTATATATGGCAGATAGACAGAGTGCCTTGGGATTGATCTTCACTGGTGTTCGTCTTCTTCTCCCTTGGAGGCGTAGCGCGGATTATGTCTTTCCTGTCGTAGCCGTTCGCTTGTAACACAGTTGTTAGGTATTTTATTTCGTCGTCGACGTACCTTTCACTAGGGTGTTGATGACGTTTCGTTTCTATTTTTGATGATGGTTGGTGTGTTTTCTTCCTGTACACCTTATGACCTAGCCGATTACCTTCCTTGATGAATAAAACATCAAGGAAATGAATTTGGAGGTTGTCTTCTGATTCCATGGTGAACTGGATTCTTGGATGAAACCTATTCGGATGGTTTATGAAGTTCAGAAGTTCTTCTTTTCCATGGCTCCGAACAACGAACGTGTCATCTAGACGTCCCAACCAGTACTTCGGTCGTTTTTCTGAAGTTTGAATGGCTCTTTCTTGAAAAATGTCCATGTAGAAATTCGCCACTACTGGGCTAAGTGGACACATGGCGACTGCAATTGCCTATGTGTTTCTGCGAAACAGGCTATCACATCGTCAACATACCTATACCAGTAAATACATTTTAGGAAAATTGAATACTCTTGAGGGCCGGGAACTATTCTTTCCCCACCCTCAGGCTCACACAAGCTGATAAGCCTGATGTAGTTCTTCTCCATCACCAGAGCAAGACGATATTTGTCGTGAAATTGTCAGCTCCTGGCGAGGCGAATATCGTATGAAAAGAGGACTAAGGCAGGATAAAATTTCAAGATTTTCTCTTCGAACTCCGCAGGCTCTATCCAGACCACTCTCTCAACATGATTGTTCCAATGGCTGGAGTCCTTGGTGGAATGAAGCCCTTTCTACTCTCGAATCTCAAAATAATGCTGGCTTGCCACACTAAGACAGACATCTCAGCTGGACAAATGCAGAAGGCTGTCACTGCACTTGCTCAGGGCACATCACTGTTGGACCCACTGATCACCTACCCCACCACACTGTGTGGGGGGTGGTCGTCGGTTGATAACTTCGAGGGATAGGACCTGACCTGAGCAAACTTGTACATTAACAACCTCTAAATCCGTTTCATTTCCCTATCCTCTGATATTCTCAAGTCTAAAAAAGTGGCATTAGAGTTAGTTATTTTGTTGGTACATCCACATATTGCCTAAGATAAGATGATTCACATATTGACATAAAATTATCCGCCTTAGCGTTACCAATTTTGAGTAAGTTAATCATCATCATCCTAATCATATTGTGTAGGAATCCTGTGAATGATATCTGATTCGATTCCATTACGAATATTTGGAGTACAGACGGAATAGAAACAATGTTTTTCGTATAATTCAGCTATCATATAAAAGTATTTGTTTCGAAAGTAATTGACTGCTGTTTCGAGAGGGTTTTTTCTTCCAGTTTGTGGCTGAAAGTTAAGCCTTTGCGTGATCTACATATCTTTGTATAGGTTGGGTTAGGTCTGCTGTTTCATCATTTTCCAAACAGATGACACACAATTCATCAGCTTATATGAAATATTCATTCAACAGAAAGTAACAATACTCTTCGTAATAAAGAGTAATTTACACAGATATTTAGATCAATTTCTAACAGAAATTTGTTTTTTTCAAAAGTATAATGGGGTCTATCAGATAGAAAATGTTTGACTAACTTCCTGAATTGCAAGTCATTTATGATGAATGAATACGTTTATTTAGAAAAATCCTAATATACATTCAATAATAATATACAATAATAAACATAATAAATCAGTAAACAATAGTAATATGTCCTTAATCAACAGTAATAATAACTAATAACTAGAGTTATACATATGACTGTAACCTAACAATGTTGAGATGTACCATTTGGGATTTTATAATAATTCTGTAGTGTACTTGACCGATAAATAAATAAAATAAATATGTATGTTTGTTTGTAACTCTAGAATTATCGACATTATTGCTTGATCTATTCGCGAGCAGATGGCGCTGCACATAACCTCCTTGATATTTCTTGATCTATTCGCGGGCAGATGGCGCTGTACGTAACTATCGAGATTATTGCTTGATCTATTCGCGGGCAGATGGCGCTGTACATAACCTCCTTGATATAATTCGAACTCACTTTTTAGCTTTTTAAACTATATTTATTCTAACTATATAGTCTGATAAGTTTTATACACGCATGTAAGTTTGATGCCTTGTAAAATATTTGATTGATGATTACATTTCATTATCATATCCCTCACAAGTTAGTTTGTATGTTTTAGTCGGCCACAGGGGTGCTATTTGTACTATATGAACTTGAAAATGACATTGTCTTAAATGAATTTTTTAAAAACCGTTGTTTTCCATGGCTGATCTTGACTATGAAAATCATGGTGAAATAAAAATGTTTTTTTTTTAATGGATGCCCATGTGAGAGTTGATCTCAATGCAGTAATTGATTATTTTTCAGAATAACCANATTGATGAGGACAAAATAAGATGGGCTATATCGGGCTTTTCCCCCTTCAAGTCACCAGGACCTGACGGTATAAGACCAGCCCTACTTCAGTGGGGACTGGACACTCTTATGCCGCACCTGGTTGGAATATTCAGAGCCTCTCTAGCTCTGAGGTATATTCCCAGTAAGTGGAGAGAGGTAATTTCATTGATAAAGTTGTATTAATTTTTCTAACAGTGTTTCTGTTGTGTCAATGTCATACTCTTGCATACACAGCATACTTTCTAATGATTTCTACATCGTTAGGAATCACACGCTAAAAGGTAAGACCCCGTTGGTCCTTTGCTCGCACAAGTTTCTCAACTTCTGAGAGTTGTCGTTCGTATGGGGGCGATAGCTGATTAACGGAAAACCAGATTTTTTTTGTCGTTTTTTCTAGCAAACTTTTGAGTAAGTGACGGTAGTCTTTCCTCGATAGGGATAATACCAGTGAGTTGGTACAGCAGAGGGTTTGGAGGGTTGTGTCTGAAGTTATTAGGATGCCTTAATGTTGTTATTTTCCTTATAGCCGTTCTTTCAGATGCTTTAATTGTTTTCAAGGCTCTTTGTTTGATATTGAGAAACAGTGTGTGCGAGTATTTAATAAGTGGACGACAGATTAGTTTATATATTCGGCTTGCTGTTGATTTGTTTGTACCTGCTCCTGGGTTTGTTAAACTTGTGGAATTTGCGGCTCTCGCAATCACTTTTTTTTTTTTTTGGTTATTGACGTGGCTGTTGAAATTTAGTCTGGGATCAAGCATAACACCAAGCTAATTAACTGTCGACAACGAATTCACATTCTTGTTCTTTGTCAATCCAAGAAAATTGTACTGACTGAGATTTCCCTATCTTTACAATTCTGAGAGAAATTTAATCTACGCCTGTCGCCTCTTTTGGATCCACATTATCAATAGCATCCTTGATTTCTGTCATACTTTCCCAATGAAAACCTTATCAATGATTCCAAATGATATGGTTATGGTTCTGCAGTAAAAACTAAAGTAGATAAATTATATTTCAAGTTACTAAAATCTATCTAACATAAAATCTTCTCAGATTGCAACTTGAAAACTCATTTTCAATGCGGAAACTCCACGTCTTGTCTGGACCTAACCAAGAAATGTGACAAAAGAATCGACTGCTGGGATAAGTCAGATGAAATGGAGTGCAGCACAGGTAATTTTGTTGATGATGTCTCCTTTTCAATTTGATAATTGCGTTTTCATTTCGTAGTACTGGCTCCAGAGTTGTTCCTTGCGGTTCACAATCACAACTCTGCAGATATTTCCGTGTTAGCTTCATATAAACTTATTTTTTCAGCAGTAACCTGCCTCAGTAACGAACATCCTTGCCAAAACAACCAATGCCTGGCCAAGGAAAAGTTTTGCGACGGTACTCCCGATTGTTCAGATGAATCCGATGAACCAGAGGGATGTCGAAGGTGAAATTAAATTCAGAGGGTTTGTAATAACCACATTCTGTATTTTCTATATAAAATCAGCCTATAAAATAAAAACAGCCACTTGGTCGAGACACTTAGTCAATAAATACATAAAAACAGTTAAAAATGTTCTCACAAATCTGGACAAAATTCAGCGAAGAATTCGACCAGTAACAAAAATTTACCGGCGTCTCCTCCTTTCTGTCTGTAGTCTTCGGCGAAACACCGGAAAAAGTAACAAACATCTTCCAAAACAGCCTAGTAAAAGGAAAAAAAAATAATAAAATGTTACAAACACTAAACTGACTCTTACTTACCCTATCCCAGTCCTTTTTGAAAAATCCCGTACACTGATGCTCGAAGTTATCGAGAGAGAGGGCATTGTATTTGATTAACAGCATGACAAACTTCGAAAATGCCTTCCAAACTGCTCTTCTGTCGCTGGATTTTCTTAATAGCGAAATGTTTCTGGGACACAATAAATTAGCGAAAAGGTCCTCTGTGGTTCCGTAATAAAACTCCCAAGACTTCATAAATAAGTTCAGTATATTCTCTGTACAGATGTTATCTTTGTGAATAACTGAAAAATCAGTAAATAAACCAATTACAACGTTGAATGAAGTTTATGAAGAGGACATTTTCTTATGAGGTTTCATGATAGCTATATGGAGAACCAAACAAAAATTTTACCACGTATCTATAATTTTATTATTTGAAAAGTCGATACTGTTCTTGAAGTATTTCTATCTAGTGTTTTTATTCAAGAGAAGCTATTCATTATTGTTGTATCATCCCTAAATAATCTAACTGTTGCTTTCAAAGTAAATTTGTTAGTGACCTGATGGAAATTTAATAAAGTTGTAGGCCAATAATAGCTTCTTATGGTAACCCAAATTTTATTTTATTCATTTATCCACAGGATCAAAACCCGTACAATAAAAAAATAATGAATGAGAGGTAATATGCAACAATGTTTGGAAATACGTCACTAGCTAGTAACGAGATTTGGGGGCAAAGGAGATTACGACCTCGTCCTCGAGTCATGTAAGAACAGTTCCAAGTGATTCTTAAAAATGGCTCCAAAACAGGAGCCGAAAAGATGAAAATTACAGACGCGGTTCAACCCGGACAACAGTATATCAAATTACTGACCGCGGAAGCCTACCAGAACACATATATATGAATTTACACAAAATTTAGTCATTTTCTGTCTACCTATGTACAAGATTACATTTTAAGAAACAAACTGTTTGTATATGTGCTCATTTGTGTATATATGTGTACATGTATATATGTACTTAACAATTTATTAATATTTAGTTATTTTTTTAGCAGAAAAATGTCTGTAGGCAAGATGTATTTCTAATGACATTAAACATATATATCTCTCTCTCATGCCATGCAATTTTTTTGAAAATTTTGGAAACGAAACGGGTGGTAGCGAAATCGATATTGAAAATTATAAATATCTCGAAAACGATCAGCTCCAGCGTTGTTGAGGAAGTATACCTTTTTTACTTGGAAAAGGTGCGGGAATTAGGTTTTTTCGTGAAAAGCACCAAAAGTTTACTGTCAAAAAAGTTAGGGTAATTTGAAATAAATAATGATAGCGTACGCAGCGCCCTCTAGATGTTACATNATCATTGATTGTTCTGCCATCTTTGGCCGAAGTGTTATTACCTGTTACATTGCGTTGCACTGCTGCCACCTTAGCATCTTTTAGTTGGCATTCCAAACCCGGTTAAGCGTTATCGCCTCCTCTTTTCTGTTGTAGTTTTCTGTATGTTTATGGATTACTATGGATTCCCGTACAAGCCGACTGTGGTATCGATGATCGTGGGCAAGTAGTTTCACATCTTCAAACAGTATCGTATGATCTCCTTCACTAAACTGTATTTTCCTGGTGGGCTTAAACAGGCAGAAATCACTAGTCATCGGTGAACTATCAGGGTGAATAGACTTCTAAAGAAGCCAGCCACTCGTGCTGGCGAAAAATATAACTCAGGAAAATTGTACATACCCAACAACAACGAAAAATCGACAAGAGCGGTGCATATATTAGCGGTGATGACTTCATTCACATCACAACGTTCGTTAAGAGTCGCGGGTGCTTCCTGTAGCAGCTTTAAAACAGCTTCTTCTTCAATACTCGAAGGATCATCGATGAGATCGACCGACAAATTCTGAAAACAGAAAAGAAACTGATTCGCTGAAAACGAGACATCAACCATCAAACCTTTATCTTTTCCAGCAAGTGAAACCCACTCAGAGCGTCCTCATTGTGGTTTTCTTTGCTTCCTAAAGCTGGCATCGCGAAAACCGCTTTATCTTTGGCTGATTTCTTGTTTTCGTGGTACAGTGATTTCTGCACTTCGCTGTCGAAGTCTCTAGTGAATATGGAAATGGTGACGTGCATGCCCAACCACTGCTTCACTCTTTCCTTGCAGGTTTTTGCAGCTATCGAGACACAGGCGGATTTCGTTTGTGGCAACGAGTCTATCGCTAACAAGCCGTCTATGGTCGCCGGCAATTTTTCGCTCAGTATAGCAGACACTTCCTTGTGGCACTGCTTGTGAAGAGAAGACAAGCTGCATTGTGAGTTCAAAAAAGTCTGCAGACGAAAGCAAAGAGAAGCCTGGAGAGCCTATTGTGTGGCAGTCGAAGACTTTCCACTAGCTTCTAGGCTCCAGAAGGCACTCTCAAATGACCACCATGAGAGAATCGGCATCCTGACGAAGGAAAATAGCTACAAAGCCGCCAACCTCCAGGAGAGTGCTGAGATTCTTATGGAAACTCACTTCCCAGGTTCTGTCTTTCCTGGAACGACAAACTGGACGGATGTACCAACAAAACCCTCACAATACGACTGGCTATCTGCTAGTGCAGTAATTGATGAGGACAAAATAAGATGGGCTATATCGGGCTTTTCCCCCTTCAAGTCACCAGGACCTGACGGTATAAGACCAGCCCTACTTCAGTGGGGACTGGACACTCTTATGCCGCACCTGGTTGGAATATTCAGAGCCTCTCTAGCTCTGAGGTATATTCCCAGTAAGTGGAGAGAGGTAATTTCATTGATAAAGTTGTATTAATTTTTCTAACAGTGTTTCTGTTGTGTCAATGTCATACTCTTGCATACACAGCATACTTTCTAATGATTTCTACATCGTTAGGAATCACACGCTAAAAGGTAAGACCCCGTTGGTCCTTTGCTCGCACAAGTTTCTCAACTTCTGAGAGTTGTCGTTCGTATGGGGGCGATAGCTGATTAACGGAAAACCAGATTTTTTTTGTCGTTTTTTCTAGCAAACTTTTGAGTAAGTGACGGTAGTCTTTCCTCGATAGGGATAATACCAGTGAGTTGGTACAGCAGAGGGTTTGGAGGGTTGTGTCTGAAGTTATTAGGATGCCTTAATGTTGTTATTTTCCTTATAGCCGTTGTTTCAGATGCTTTAATTGTTTTCAAGGCTCTTTGTTTGATATTGAGAAACAGTGTGTGCGAGTATTTAATAAGTGGACGACAGATTAGTTTATATATTCGGCTTGCTGTTGATTTGTTTGTACCTGCTCCTGGGTTTGTTAAACTTGTGGAATTTGCGGCTCTCGCAATCACTTTTTTTTTTTTTTGGTTATTGACGTGGCTGTTGAAATTTAGTCTGGGATCAAGCATAACACCAAGCTAATTAACTGTCGACAACGAATTCACATTCTTGTTCTTTGTCAATCCAAGAAAATTGTACTGACTGAGATTTCACTATCTTTACAATTCTGAAAGAAATTTCATCTACGCCTGTCGCCTCTTTTGGATCCACATTATCAATAGCATCCTTGATTTCTGTCATACTTTCCCAATGAAAACCTTATCAATGATTCCAAATGATATGGTTATGGTTCTGCAGTAAAAACTAAAGTAGCCAAATCATATTTCAAGTTACTAAAATCTATTTAACATAAAATCTTTTCAGATTGCAACTTGAAAACTCATTTTCAATGCGGAAACTCCACGTCTTGTTTGGACCTAACCAAGAAATGTGACAAAAGAATCGACTGCTGGGATAAGTCAGATGAAATGGAGTGCAGCACAGGTAATTTTCTTGACGGATGTCTACTTTTAAATTTGATAATTGCGTTTTCATTTCATAGTACTGGCTCCAAAGTTGTTCCTTGCGGTTCACAATCACAACTCTGCAGATATTTCCGCGTTAGCTTCATATAAACTTATTTTTTCAGCAGTAACCTGTCTCAGTAACGAACATCCTTGCCAAAACAACCAATGCCTGGCCAAGGAAAAGTTTTGCGACGGTACTCCCAATTGTTCAGATGAATCCGATGAACCAGAGGGATGTCGAAGGTGAAATTAAACTCAGAGGGTTTGTAATAACCACATTCTGTATTTTCTATATAAAATCAGCCTATAAAATAAAAACAGCCACTTGGTNAAGAGTCGATTTTGAAATGATCGATGAATTTTACTTGAAAAATTTGCAATACTTTGGTGAATATTACTGCAGTTTTTTCCCAACACCAAACCGTTATTTTAACACCTCGACACGTGTTTTGATCAGCATCACTCCAGTTCTATTCATTACTGCACCAAAGGTTCCAAACAGTGCATCACAAATGATCTTTTATTTAACATCTCGAAGGCCTTCGACCGTGTATGGCACGAAGGTGTTTGTTTCGAAAGTAATTGACTGCTGTTTCGAGAGGGTTTTTTTCTTCCAGTTTGTGGCTGAAAGTTACGTCTTTGCGTGATCTACATATCTTTGTATAGGTTGAGTTAGGTCTAAAGTGAGTGGGTCTATTCGACCCTCCACTCCAACCCGCAAGGGTTTATTGTGGCTCACACATTCTCAACGAAGCCGATTAGTTTGTACGGTGAGTGATCTTTCAGGTCAAATGGTGAGAGTACGGATCTGCAGGACTTAAAGAACCTGATTCGGTCCCCAGCGGGGCAGGCACAAAGTATATGCTCTACTGCTTCATCATTTTCCAAACAGAGGACACACAATTCATCAGCTTATATAAATATGATGAAATATTCATTCAACAAAAAGTAACACAATAAAAGAAGTATTGATTTCAAATTTATATCTACATATTTCCGAAGAAAATACTCTTCGTAATAAAGAGTAATTTACACAGATATTTAGATCAATTTCTAACAGAAATTTGTTTTTTCAGACAAACTGATATTCAAAGAAGACAGCAAAACGACAAATAAATATAAACTCCAAGAAGCTGTGAGTGATACACATACAACAAACAAAACTCGCGAAGATCGGCTTTTGAATGCAACACGCAACGAAAATCCAGCAACAGTATACGAGATGGTGAGTTCCTGGTGTTTACTTTGAGAATCCAAAAAAAGGCAAGCTCTTTAGGAATTATTAGGCTATACCTAAGGTATTGATGTTTCCAGTGTCACTGTTTTTCGAGTTTGAAAGCCGTGGATTATTGGAATTTCTTCCTGACGTTTCGCTGGCGCGAGTGGCT